GGTATTCTTAAAATCATTAAAGTTTTAGAGATGGATATTGGTACCTGATCTTACAATTTCTGGATGAAAGAAGTCTTCGAAAAAAGACTAAATGGGAGAAATATATGAACTTGGCAGAGCAGTTTTATGATCCTGACTAGAAAAGAGTAATGGGAACACATGTCAAAACCATAAACACGTTTATCCCGAAACGTATTTCAAACAATTTTCATTTTGATACCCATCAAAGAAGTATGAGACGTACATTCATTTTGCCATAGTGTTTGCAACGCTCAAAAAGAAACGCTTCAGAGACGCTACTATGAAATTGTGAATTGATTAAGCTGTATCTGTCCGCCTACATGGTGGATGTTGTCGAGACCTCCTGGTTGCAAAAATGAGCAAATCGACTTTAAATTTGGTAGAAACATTGGAATCCTTTGCACACAGGTTGTTACTGAAAAGAGACCAAACTGGTCAGACCAGGCACCCGCAGTGGAGCATAAATTGAACACAACTCTGCATTTTTAAAGAAAAATTTTTATTCATTACTCACAATCTACAACAGATAGAAGGCTGAAATTTTCCACATGTAATTTAGGAAAAACTCTTCAATTTACGTGTAAAAAATGGGACAAATGGCCAACGCCCACGCAAAGTTGCAAGTTTCTTTCACTTTTTAAAGGGTTTATGCTCATTAATCATAAGATAAACAAAACAGAAAAGCTAAACTGAAACTGTTTTGTATTTTGTACGTTCCTCAAATGAAGATACAGTTGCTTCCTAAAAATGCGTTCATTCTAAAGTAAATATGATGGACACCGCGACATGGTGAATTAATACTTTTTTTTTTTTTCATATATATCCGCCTGAGTGGCCGAGTAGGCAAGAGTCTCGACTAGCAACTCAATAGTCGTGGGTTCAAACCTCAAGTGCGGTAGAGTTTTCTAATAAAAAGCCGATAGCCCTAGATGCTAGTGCTTTAAGACTTTAGTCTTAGAATTTATTCTCTGGCTAAATTTATAATAATAATATTAATAATAATACTTTTTTTATAATACACAGCGATGTGGGTATCAAATAAAAGAACTTCAACAGTAGAAGGCGATGAGGTCAATGCAGTAATTCTAAATTAATTACGGTGGGCGTCAGGGCGTAGTGGATTAAATTTCTTTTTGCAATTCCATTGATATTGATATCGTATAAAAGGAAATGTAGTGTAGAACACGACAAGTCAAATGTGTTGATTCCAAACTAATGATAGTGGAAGTCAAGACGTGAAAGATTAATTCTTTTGAATAATACTGATGTAAAGGGGGAAAAATATGTTTTATCCATTCACTTTTTTATGACAATAAATAAGATCTTAATGAAGGAGGGTATACAAGATTCGGCTCCAGCCAAATATAAGCCTCTTACTTGTTTCCATTCAAATTTTTTACTGTCTCTTGAAAGGAATATGATGCTGCTTGCCGCAGAGGCCCATGAGCTAAAGATATCTGCGCAGAACGGCTGTGGTGTTGCCATTTTTCAATAATTCTCAAAAATAAGTTTTGTTCCAAACCTTTAAGACATCCTTGTTTCAAGACTAGGCACTGCAGACTGCTTACTCTATAGCATGAACTACTTTCTCATGAAGCAGACGTTCGGGCTTTAAACTCTTTAGCAGCAATTTTTCAAGATGAAAAGAGGAGTCCTTCAACTGACTTTACTAATACGTACATTATGTGACACTCTAGGCGATTCCACACATTTTCATAGTCATTACTGTCTTCTTTTACGTTTATTCATTTTCATATTCTTTTGCCTTACAAAGGCAAAGAAAGTGCTTGTGTCACTTATATTTTGAATTTCAATTATTATATCATAACCCATATGAGGAAGTAAGCAGAAATCCTTCCATTACAGTTATCTAATATTGATGCATACATAACCACATGCAAGCAAGCATAACGTATTTTCAGATGCGTTTATCAATATAAGTTTGTGCTTGTAAGATATATTTTTTTAAGGATATCCTGATGATGTACTTAAAGAGTACATAATGATGAGTAATAATTAAGGTGTTGTCTGCAGAATATAGAATCTGCAGTGCCGAGTTGAAAGTAACACAACTTTATTTACCGAACTTTTCTACTGTTATATATTTGGCATTGCGCCATTGAAGTATTTACTTGGAAATTGTCTTAGCTCTACCCAAAAAAAGTATATTAAATACTTAAATGTGCTTGTAATAGTAAAACAATTCCACGGCAAAGTATTAAATTAGTTCTCTTAACTTATACAGAATTATAGGTTTCTTGCGATTATTGATGCATAGCAGACAAAAAAGATGTCATAATATATGAAGTATTTAAAAAAAAAATTTCGCTATAGTTTTTTTTTGAATTACTATATTTCTTTAAACAAAAGGATGTATATCAAGTTTACATACGGCTTCCACACGGATCATAATTCATAGGATATCTCCCATCATATCCTATACGACTGACCAGCCACCTGCAGAATCAGATACCAGGTGTTTGGCGAACATTTCCTCGCTCTGAGCCTAAGAAGGTGGCGAGATTTATAAGATTCTTAAAGCTAGAGAGCTAGAGGCACGGACGAGTAAAATAAGTTTACTCAAATTGCACTAGGGGTTGCCCACTTCATTATATATATCACTATATAAAATAAAATATATATAATATATTACAACGCAATACAAGTTTACATACAATGTGTGATCCGACGATATACGCAATAGACATACGTAATAGACATAATATCTTTTTTAGTCACGCATCTGATAGGAAGTACTTGAGAAAATGAGATCTAAACTAAAACTCTTAATATATATAAGCTTCTATATATATTAAACAAACAAAAAAACTCAACAAAAATAGTCGTCTATCTAAACATTTTAACACCTTATAAATTTGAAGTAAAAAAAGTACTAAACAATGCTTTATAGAATCAATATAAATATATTCATCTTATAAGCATCAAGAGGCATGATTCTAATTGGCACCTGTAAAAATGTAGCGAATTTTGTTACTTTAGAGAGTAAGTGAAAGAGTTTTTTAGCTAATATAGTATGTTTTGTATTAAACCTTTTTAGCTTATTTCAGAACTTTATTTTTCAGCTTTGCACAATGGTACAAACATGTATATATATATATATACATATATACATATATACATTACACACACACACACAAATGCACGCACGGCGTTAACAAAAATATTGTTGTTGCTTCTCAGTTTCAGTCGTGGTTTTCTCTTTGAGAAAGATTAAGATTGCAATTTTGGAGAGTAAAATTTACTTTTCTGCAATTTCCTACGAAAGGTGTTTCTGAGTTTTCTGAGAGTGCAATTTTTTCTCTTCACATATTTCTTATTACCATTTTTTCTTGTCAGTTGCAAAGAAAATTTTGCAAACAAATTTTTTTCTTATCATAATAATTTTTTTTTTTCTTTTAACTTTCTCTTAACTTTTTAACTTTAACTTTTCTTTTTACTTTCGGATACGCACATCATCCATTCTCAAACATTAAATGAATAATAAAAAATTAGCTATTCACCTATAAAATAAAAGTATATTAAATCGAACTAACAAGTAAACTTCTCCAGCAAGAAAAATGAATTTGAGCTTTGCTAGTTAATACTGGTAATATAGCTCAACTTTCAATTAATGTTATGCAATTTTTTATTATATCCAAATAAAAAGTACAATTTCATTTTTCCCATCCTCCATCATTTATTATCCAATCAATTCTTTATAATAAAGCATCGCCTCCAAATTCGATTACTTGAAGGCGTTAAAATATTTCACAATTTGAAAATAAATAACTGAACAATAAGATACTAAACCTAATCCGTCCATAATAAAATTCTAATGAAATTGGAACTAATAAAGAATGATACAATAAAACGATTAATTTTTCAATCTCCTTTAATAAATTACTAAAGAAGAAATTATTAATACAAAAGGTATAAACTTGAAACTTCTTGCCTACACAAACTATTCAGTTCATTGCCTTTAGCGCTTATGCAGACGCAACGTAATGATTTGCACATAGTTTCAAGCTGGTCATAAGTTTGTCGCTGAGAATTTCTTGGGCGTTTCTTGTCATTCCCTCTTCTTCTATATCTAAATGAGTTGAATTAAGGTGACCAGATTTTCAGATTGCTACTTTTGGAAGAATATATCTATAATTTTTTTCTACCTACAAATCATTTTATTATTGTTTTGATTGTATGTTTATGTATATTTTATGTATTCTGGTAAAAAATATTTATTGCAAACATAATAATGTTTCGTATGGTTTGTACCATTTAATAACGTTAGCCAATCTTGCAATTTATTCTCAGAAGTTTTGAAAATCGATCTTTTTTAAATGGATTTTTTTTTCGATTATATTTGCAGTTCTGTATTATGCACACTTCTGCCACAATAAGAATAAAAACGATAAAAATAATATAATAATAAATAGAATAAAACAAATTAAGCTAAGGAAATGTAAGGAAGAATTTTAATAATTTTGTTCATTTACTTATATTTTTTTAATAAAAATTTCGAAAGAGAAAAGAATAAAAAATGTTAGTTTTTAGCCTCTTCCCAGATTTCGAATTATAAAAGAAATAATAAAAATTATTTTTCGCTTTGAATACTTTGAATGCGCTTATTGAAAATTAGTAAAACAAAGCATTTTAATTGTTTAATCACATGTTTAAGGATCAGGCGTTTCAGATGTCATCATTGTAGATGTGTTTCATATTAAATAAAATTTCAATAACATTTTAAAATTATGAAATGAACGAGATAATATGAAAAATTAAATTTGAAGTAAAAAAATATAGATATGGTAGATATGGCAGGTATGGCAGGTGGCAGGTATGTTTAAAATCAGATGTTTTAAGGCGTAATCATGTATCTTTGTAGTATCTTTGTGTCGTTTGCGATTTAATTGATGTCGTCGTGTCGTCGCGTGGTCGCTTCCGTCACTATTTAATGCTATGCTCTCTGCGCTCTCTGCTCAGAAAGTGTTTGAAAGTTTTTGAAAGAGGTTGTGTGTTACGATAAAATAAAGTGAATAAGTTCGGAAGTCTTCTGTACATTATAAATTTAAGTACATACGCTATCTATATATACAAAGTATTTTTTAAATAAGATAAAAAAAAAGACGCAAAATGAGAGAAATCGTTCATATTCAAGCCGGTCAATGCGGAAACCAAATTGGAGCTAAGGTAAGTTTTGAAATTCTTTTAAAAGTACATCATATTAAAATTAAATATGAGTTTTGTTTTAGTAGCGTGTTTTAATAAATTAGAAAGTGACTAATTTTTTGCATAATTTTTCTTATTAGTTTTTAAAAGAAAAGTGCGTGTTCGTCGAATAGACGCCATTTTCTAAGTGATTTCCATTTTTAGCATCAAATTAGTTTAGAGACAGAGTCGGCAAATGAAGTGTATATGAGTATTTCTTTTTGGACAAAGTTTTTTTCTTTTTTGATTTTCATGTGAAAATTTATAACAAGCACAAACGCACAAAGTTTGCTTTAATTTGTTCATGTATATATAAATATGTATATGTATGCATATAATGACTATATTTTCTATGCAGAAGATGCTACTGCAAAAACCTCTCATTATAAGACTTCTTTTTTTCTTATAATCGATATAATGTTAGATTGCGTATAGTTTGTTAACAGCGGTAACTGTGACTAAGAAATTTCTTCTATTATAAGCATACATGTGTATGCGTTTATATGTGTTCGTCTCTATCTATATATATATGTACTTATTCAACTCCGGCATTTCTATATAATCGATAAATCCGCTGCGCTGCATAGCTTTGTTGTGTTATGAATGTTGCCTTGGCAAATAAAGAGAAAAAAAAAAAAACAAGTATTCTCTTAGTTTACAAAAAGGAAAACGTGAGAGGGGATGAGAGTTTTAATGGGAAATACAGCGGCAATGAAACGCCTTGTTTTTGCATATATATATATGTATATATATGTATATACGACATTATTATTCATATATAAATATATAAATGACTTCATAATTCAATAATTGCGAATGAGAGTTAAAAGATTGAAGTTAAACAAGTTGTAAACTATTGATATGAAAGACAAACTACAAAGAGACCATAATTTTTTCTCTATAATTTCACCAATTTTTTGCATTGAGTTGAAGTTTTGCAGATTTTTTTTTTTTTTTTTTTTTTTTTTTTTTTTTTCCCTTCTTTTTAAGGTTAAGGCTATAAATTACAAAAGCTTTAAAGTTCATTCTCTCTTGTTCTCCGAATTTTTCTTTTATGTATACAGTATTTGCAGACTTAGGCGTTGGCAATCTAATGAATATGTTAAATAGGACAAGGGAGTGTTTTCTACGATACTAAATCTCCTTTTTGCAGACATTTGAAACCTTGGTATAATTTTAACTTGATGTAAGAAGGGCATGTTTGATATATTCGTGATCGTATAGTAGATTGGTAACAATAAAAACCCATGACAATATTCAATAAATAATCCTTACTTAAGGCCCTGTGAGATGTACTAGATGTGTCATTATATAATATCAGGGAATATAGAAAACAAATACGATAAGGCGTATAAATTCTTAATCAGTTTGAGATTATATAACGAGCCGTCCCAACTCTTTCGTCCAGAAGTTGTTGCAACTTCTGCAGTTATGAAAAATTACAAAATCTTCTAAAGTTTATCATAAATTTGTTATTGATTAGATTCACTTAATTAGCAACAAACGTGGGAAAAGTATAAAACATATGTTTGTAGAATGTGAGACTCTGAAGTCTGCAAATTGTATTCACAGATCGATTGCGAAAATAAGACAAAGCAGTCATTAAACTATGTTGTCCGCCATCTGCTTAAAAAGCTGAAAGTTCAATATCCCTAAATTAGGTATTCACATGAGTTAATGGTTGTCTAAAAGTCATCAAGAGGTGAATCTAATTTTCTTATGGTTTATGAGCTGTGAATCCTGCAAAGTGGAAAATTTTTGGCCTTCAAGAATTTTGCAAAACTTTTTTTTTGACATATAAGCTCCCATTCGTTATGAGCTTGGTCGATTTAATCTAAGTTTCCTTCTTTTTTTTGCCATTAGAATATGTAGCCAATTTTTGTGCTTATTTATGGCATTTGTTTCTTCTTTTTGTTGTTGTTGTTGTTGTTGTTGTTGTGTTAGTTACAACCATTTTAAAATACACCCTTTTCTTTTATATCCTCCCTTAAGCGAACATTTTGATTGCAATCAAAGAACAGCTGCACGAAAGAAACATAACCCCAAACATTCTTAAGCCGTGTATTTAAAACTACTATCTATAAATTCTAATTGGTAACCAGCTAACCTACACATTAATGCACGTACATACGTGTTTTAACCACACAAATACATTATTTGTCATGCACAACCCACTTATAAAAAAGATGAAAAGAAAAATAAAATCAAATCTATTACCGGCCGAAGTCTATATAATAATATGAGCTTACTTATGTAGGCACACACGCACACACATTTACGTATGCAGATGTACACATGCACGCTTGTTATGTATGAATGTAGGTAGTAAGTAAGTCAGCTTAAAAAAAAAAGTCACCATGATTTTTATATTCATTGAAGTGTATATATATATATATATATAAATCTAGTTACCTACTGTTGCTGATTTTTTTTTTTTTTTTTTTTTATATTAAAATTTGAAATAATAAATTTTCGTGACATCATCCACACATGTGCAGTTATTTTATTTTTTCTCTGCTTATAACCATATATAGAGATTTTACTTCGACTTTCTGACAAGCCATTATTATTGGTTGGTTGGTTGGTGGTAACGATGCCAATATGTATGTGGTGAGGTGGTAGAGTAATGCAAGTGATCTATAAAATAAAATTCGCACCACGCCATCTGTAGATGTTGTTATACTTGAGTTGAGTTAGCAAACTGTAAAAAATGCTTGTAATTTGCGTGTTAAGTGTACAGTGAAACAGCAAAAAAAAAAAAAAAATAAAATAAAAAAATAAAAAGCTTTCTTTTTTCTAAATCCTCTACTCTCCTCGCTTGATATCTTTCAATAGCTTATTAAGTAGAAAACTTTTTTTCAACTTTAACTTAACAGATGGTCATATAAGTAAATTTTTTCCTTCAGTCCACATGCCTTCTTTTTGTTTACCTAAAACAGATTTCTTTAATTCTTAACTCGTTTTCTCTTTTCTTGCCTTTTTTGTAAATACCTGATTGTCTTATGCGTTTTCTACAAAAAAAATTTGTTTGTATTGTGATTTGTATTAAAAAGCAACCCCACACACACACACACACACACACACACTCATTCATGTTGCACAATACAAAAACACCTACATGCATTTTTAATGCATTTCAATTTGTTACTTTATAATAATTATTGACTGATTGATTGGCTGACTGATTAACTTGCAGACACAGTAAGAGCAGAAAAAAGAAAAAATGATGATGTCAGCAATCAAATCATTACCCACCCGCCTTCATAACAATTAAACTAAGCACCGTATACGTGTATGACCGCGTGGAAGAGACCTCCAAACTTGGTTGCAAAAGTGTGCTTCTTTGCTTAAACGAATTTATTTATGTAAAAAAAAAAAAAAAAAATAGCATTGGAATTAAGTCTTTACTTCAGGAAGATGAGAGAGAAATGCAATTTTCGGCTATATTTAATTTTCATTCTTATCCTTTTTCCTTTTCTTTTTTTTTTTTCTTTTAGTTTTGGGAAATTATTTCCGATGAACATGGCATTGATGCCACTGGTGCTTATCATGGCGACAGCGATTTGCAGTTAGAACGCATTAATGTTTATTACAATGAAGCCTCGGGCGGCAAATATGTACCCCGTGCCGTTTTAGTCGATTTGGAACCCGGTACCATGGACTCTGTGAGATCAGGACCATTTGGACAAATTTTCCGCCCTGATAATTTCGTATTCGGTCAATCAGGTGCCGGTAACAATTGGGCTAAAGGCCATTATACAGAAGGTGCAGAGTTGGTTGACTCTGTGTTGGATGTTGTGAGGAAAGAGGCTGAATCTTGCGATTGTTTGCAAGGTTTCCAATTGACACATTCACTTGGCGGTGGCACTGGCTCTGGTATGGGTACATTGCTTATTTCGAAAATCCGCGAAGAATATCCCGACAGAATAATGAATACCTATTCAGTGGTACCATCACCTAAGGTATCGGACACAGTTGTAGAACCCTATAATGCCACATTGTCTGTTCATCAACTCGTTGAGAATACAGACGAAACTTATTGCATTGATAACGAGGCCCTGTACGATATTTGCTTCCGCACTTTGAAACTAACCACACCCACTTATGGTGATTTGAACCATTTGGTATCGTTGACCATGTCTGGTGTTACAACCTGCCTGCGTTTCCCTGGTCAATTGAATGCCGATCTCCGTAAATTAGCGGTTAATATGGTTCCATTCCCACGTCTTCACTTTTTCATGCCTGGCTTTGCTCCATTAACTTCAAGAGGTTCGCAACAGTATCGCGCCCTGACAGTACCCGAACTTACTCAACAAATGTTCGATGCTAAGAACATGATGGCTGCCTGTGATCCCCGTCATGGCCGTTACTTGACTGTCGCTGCGATTTTCCGCGGTCGCATGTCCATGAAAGAAGTTGATGAGCAAATGCTAAATATTCAAAATAAGAACAGTTCATATTTCGTCGAATGGATTCCAAACAATGTTAAGACAGCCGTTTGCGACATTCCACCACGAGGTTTGAAAATGTCAGCCACCTTTATTGGCAATTCCACTGCCATTCAAGAACTGTTCAAACGTATCTCTGAGCAATTTACCGCTATGTTCCGCCGAAAAGCTTTCTTGCATTGGTACACCGGTGAGGGTATGGACGAAATGGAATTCACCGAAGCCGAAAGCAACATGAACGATTTGGTCTCCGAATATCAACAATACCAAGAGGCCACTGCCGATGAAGATGCCGAATTTGAAGAGGAACAAGAGGCTGAAGTTGAAGAGAACTAAATTTGTTTTCTTAATTTTTTTCTTCATCGAAAACGAAAAAAAAGGCTAACAAAACAAAAACAAAAACAAAAAAAAAAAAAAAACCTTGGTCAAAACCCCATGTTAAGAAAAAAGTTTTGAAAATTAACAAAAAATAAAACATACTGTTTCTCTAATAATATACGCAATGTGTGTTTAATTTTTGTAAACTTTGCACAATTTACTTAAAGAAATTGACGAAAGAAGGCAAAGGTACAAGCCTAAGGCTAAAGTAAGAATACCCTTTAAGAATAAGAGAACGGATATCTACGTTAAGTAGCTTTTTCGAAGAGGATTTATTTGAGCAGAAAGCATGGGCACAGGTTGTAAGTGTTCGTTTATGAATGTAAAGCATACTCGACATTTTAATGGCAATAGCGGAAAATTTTTTAAATTCCTTGGAATCCGAATTTTTTTTTTTTTTTTTTCATCAAAAGTACATTGAACCTCCTCCAAACATTTCTATGCGGTCAACATTTCGTATCGCATGGTTTCCTGCATTAGTACATATATAAAAATACACATATATGTTGGCGTGACGTCATTATTGAACATTTTTTTGAGTTCAGAATGCAATGCATACATATAACAATTAGCACACAATCCGGCTATATATAGTTGTTTTTGTCGAGAGCTATTTACCTAAATATAGCTGCACATGTACATGTTTCATTTGAATATGTATATGAAAAGAATGTATATTAGCTACGCTTCGCAAACAGCTTCTAACAAAACCAATGAAATTAAATTTGATATTGATTTTATTGCGATAATGCCGTAGCCGAGAGTTCAAATAAATATATAATCAACCGATTTGGATTTGAACACATCTCTACAATACAATTTTCTCCAAGCAAGCAAAGAAAATCTATAGACAATGATGGTCCAGTGCAGTTTTTGCAAAACACTAAAACTAACAAAATATTTAAGTGTGGGAGGGAAAATCAAAGTTCCATATGTTTTAATAAACGGTAAAAGGATGCATTCTTTGACTTCGAAGCGATCCCTTAGTTTATAATGATTGGCTATAGTTCTGTAAAAGAAATAATCTCCTAAAAAGTGGAAAAGAAAATCGAAGCTCCTCGATATCTTTAAAAAAATTGATAAAGAGATCCATTGTTTTACTTCGGAACCATCCAGTAGTTTATTATGAATGGCTATATAGTTCTATAAAAGAAATGATTTCCTGAGATACGATTCCGTGAAATACTTTCCCCTTTTTGCTTTTCATGTTCGAGTGACTTTTAAGAACTCAATAAATTTTTCCTTAGAGTGTAAATTTATTCTAGTCAAGTAACGCTTAAACATCTCTATTCACTCATTTTGATTTTTCAAATGCAAAAATTTTTATATCAAGCAATCTTAGAACATTGACGAAGTAGTACGCTCTAATAAGCATAAAAGACGGCTCACATAAACATCTCCCGTCATCAAAGTATTCACAATATATTTCCAATGTCTTCCACAATATATTTCCAATGTCTTCCATCGTTTAGTAATTTTAAACTTTTCTTCGGATTGTGGAGTTGGCATAAAGTTAAGAAGTCCGTGTTTTTGCTTACAAGTTAAAGTACAAAATTGACGACAGCTGTTTTAAGGACATTTGATCTGATTCGGGATGAAAGGATGCGAAGGTATTGTAACAGTAAGCAAACAAGAAAAAGTTATTCGCTTAAGGGCGAATGGCTGGGATGCTGTAAAATGCTATATAAAATGAGAGTATTTCAGCCCCACCTTCCATTTTCCCCATCACTTTGGAGTTCTCTACGGATCCCAATTTCCGATTACTTATGTATTAATTTTTTCGCTGATCTTTTTAGATAGCTTTTATATCCAGTTTTTGATTAATTGTGTAAAGTGCAAGTCATAGTTTTTTGCAATATTGTGTTCAGTCACATATATGGCCTTTAAGCCTTCCAATTGCATACGGGAAAAGCTACAAATGCAAAGAAGTGGACATGGCTAAGTCCGTTAAGACTATTCTAAGGTTTTTTTGCGATTACAAACGGAAGATTAAGCATATTTATCCTTTAGAGAATAGTAGGTAGATATGTGTATTTAAGTTTGCAATTTAAAAAGGAGAAATTTCCTAAGGCAGGTTAGACAAAAAATAATTTTTACAATAAAGATAACTCGCCTGAGTGGCCGAGAAGGCAAGAGTCTCGACTAGCAACTCAATGGTCGTGGGTTCAAATCTCCAGTGCGGTAGAGTTTTAAATAAAGCCGAAAGTCTTAGATGCTAGTGCTTTAAGTACTTTAGTCTTCGAATTTATTCTCAGGCTAAATTTATAATAATAATAATAATAATAATAATAATAATGATAATACAATAAAGGAGGTTTTAAAGCTTATTTCCCTTTGAACAAAAAGAAAAAAATGCAGCAATAGTTTTACTCGGCACGGTATTGTATGCATGCATATCGCATATAAAAAAGGTGCAGTAACCAAATTATGCGCACAACAATTCAAAAATGCGAAATAAGAAATTCTTAATACATTATGAGCGTATGTATGAGGGGGGAGGGTATATATAAAAACATCAAGTATCATAAAAGCAATTAAATGTGCTCTCGAGTAAGTGAAGGGTGCCTCATTCTCATTTGAAACTCTGGCATATGAAACGTGACTCTCCCAACGCACATACAACATACACATTTGCACATATCGTAAATGCCCGTAAAAAAAGAAAATAATATTTATAAGAGTTTATATACATATATATATATGTATGAATATAGATGTGTATATATATTGTGCAGAAATAGAAAATTTCATTTTCTGCGCAAGTAATATGAAGTTCGCTGAGTCATGCCACAAACGCTGCACGAAAAAATTCTGCTTGTTTCTATTTCATGGGTGCATTCACACATACACTACTACGTAGAAATAAATATGTTAATGCTTAACATGGTAAATATGATTATTTTATAGTTGGAAAGCTAAGCTAAGAATATTTCATCCATGTCAATGTATATATAGAAAACCCATATGTGGCATACACCCAGGTGTATGCCACATACACCTATTAATACTAACACATTTGCTTCTATAAGTGTCTTATGTACAATTTTCGTCGTAGTTATGTTGATGAATCATCGTCGTACTGTTTAAGGAAGACGCAAATAGGATACAATAGAATAGGGGTTATAATAAAAAGCAAACCTTTATGTGGACAGAAAGCATAATTTCTGGTTTTCTATCATCGAAACTGAAAAATAATAACATTTTTCGGAAGTGAATTAAGTTTGGTAAATTTGGATCGTTACGGACATCCTCCAATATATGCGGGTTTTCATGAAAAGCGAGTACTTTTACTAGGTGAATTGGTGTAGGGTAATTAACGACGTCCTTGCCCGTTTACAATGTTCTTACCCGTTTTATATATTTTCTTATTATTATTTTATTTTCATTAATATATTAGTTGCGGTAGGTTAAGTACGTATTTATAACACAAAATATTCGATATAAGTGTAAAATAACTATTTTCACACCATCCATACTGACGCTATAATGTATAGAGTAGAAACACGAGAATTTCTGTGCAACAAAGAGGGATCACATATCTAGAAATGAGTTCGAGGAACATATCGCATCCCCTTACAAAGTATTATTTCTTCCTGAAGCTATAGCTCACTAAAATACCTCGTTAGTCAGCCCAACGGTAAAGTTCTGACCGAGCGCCTATCGTCAAGTAATACCTAATATAGAGGTTTTATAAACATTACATATGTACATATGTGTTGAGTATGCCTGAATAGCTTTGCTCGTCAAGCTCTAGATTCATTAATGTCGATTTGGAAAATCATTTGTACATTGATTAAATATTGACAATAATTAAATAGAGAATAAAGACAACTTGAACAAAACTGTTATAAATAAACGTTTATTGTTTTCTAATTTAAAAAAAAAAAAATCATAATTTATTTCGCTGTATCCTGCGATACTTCTGCCATCAGGGTATATTAAGTTGGTGTGGATGTCAGCATCACCGCGAAGGACTTGAGATGAGCAGACCTTTTCTTACACCAATCGATTTCAAGAACCCACTTTTTGAAACGATCTAAGCAATCAAATTCAAAGCTTGCACACCGCAACTTCAGAGTGTTAGAGGCTGATATAATACGGCAAAAAGTCAATTTTTTATCATAATTTTTTATGTTTCCCTGCTTTCGAGCTCACCTGTGTACTTATTTCTACTAGATTACGTAACCACTTTATTGCTATTTCAAAGTATTTCCAATTATTAAATTATGCACAAATGAAAAATATTGTTGCGAAAATCCAACAATCGACAAAATGAGTTTGCATAAAAACTAGGCGAATTTTATAAATATACATTCACGATGCTTTATCTATTGATCGGCGAAAGATTAAGGACAATTCGCAAAACATATATCGCGGGGAAAGTTATTAGCAGACAAATGTTACAATGCAGTTTGACTGCATTATTTTTTTCAATTTCAGATTAACATGTTCATGGGTGACGAAAGTGTGTCTAAAACTCTCAATATCCTCGAGCAGCAGCGTAATGGGGGCTGCGTGATGCTTATGGGTAGGTGGGTTGGTAGATAGGCATATGTTCTACAGAGATAAAAGAGATTAAACCTTAAACAGGATCACAAGGTTTTCTCAGCGTTCCCTTCCACTCGTGCTGAAATTGACTGCATATCGCATGACAGACTACCGCGGCGGGCTCATCCGTGCTTGATGCTACCATTTTCAAATATGGTAATGGGTTTCTCCTTAGGCAGAATGGGACAAATGTAGTTTGTAGCAGTAGATACTACTTATGAGCATATATGGTAGTATACTCCGTTTAACCTTTTAATTTACTATTCCGAGTTTTTTAAGCCTCTGTTATCTGTAGTTCTGCTTTAGAGTCCTGTTCTCCACCTTTTCCATGGGGAAGGAATAGAAAAAGCACATGAAGTACAAGACCAAAAATACAAGTTCATGAAAGAACTGAGAAACTTTGAAAATGAATAAAAATATAAACTTCGGACTTTCATCTGACCTACAAATGTTGTACGCGAGAAAATCATATCCTACTTAGTGATTTATTATTGAAAATATAATATATAATCTTTTTTATATAAATGTATCAAAAATATGCATTCATCTCCCCGTGTACGTCTCCTCAATAGTTTTATACAATTTTTATAGGCATGGCATTCGATTTTACCCTATTTTCAAAAAAAAATGATAATTCTTTCCATATATAACTTGAACTTATACAAGTGCCTTGAAATATAATATATAATCTTTTTATATTTATAGCTTGTCACTTACAAAAAAAAAAAAGAGGCAAATTCGCGCATAAATTTATAAAATATACTTTTATTGCTCGAATAATTTATTTAGAGCAAAGAAAAGCAGGATGAGTACTAGAACTAAGATTATCAGCTCTTATAGAAAATATTTAATTTCAATTACAACTTAATTCAATGGACTGAATTTAAATAATCGAAAAGAACTAAATATTTAGGGTTTTTATTTAAATTCATGTAATTAATTTAATTTAAATTAATTTGAATTTCATTTAATTGATTTAATTTTAAAAGAAAAGAAAGCAACGTTATTCCAACAGGTGCGTGATTACCAAAATAAAAGTACGTAATAACAGTGCGCTATTTTACACTGCTGCAAAATGATATTACGTATGCAAAGTGGTAGTAACTCTGTTACTTGTTTTTATTGAAAGCGAGAAAGACTAATTACGCGAATTATTTTTCTTTTTTATTTTAATAAAAACTAATTTTTAATTAAAAGCAAATATAATAACAATAATGAATATGATAAAAGCAACAGCGAATAAGTAATTGTTTATTTAAAGTTATGAGAATTAGTTATGAGTTCAGCAGCAGACGAAACTGTAGAATTTTTACAACCAGGTAAGAACGAATGTCCGCAACAAAAAAGTGTACAAAATTGTTGGTTTCATTTCAAGAATGTTATTATTAGGTTAACTAAATATAAAAATAATTCTTAATCTGTGTGTGATTGTGTTAAATTTCCAAAAAAATTATAATTATGTAGAGACTTTTACTCTGAGGTCATCTTCATGCGTGAACGAGTGTATGTGCATAAATGAGTCGATATATTTGTATAATTGACGATTTGATATATATTAACATTACAATGTAAACTTTGAATTTCACGTTATACGTTATCTATGGCAATTGATGACTGTGCTAAATATAGCTTTATCGTTATAAGAACTTAATTCAGAATTTTTCACCCATATGGGTGCTGCTTAAGAAAGTTGAAGGAATGTTTTTAATTATTTCAACGTCCGAAACGGAATTAGCTTGAAATATTTCTGCCATAGTTGAGAAGACATATTTTTCATGATATCATTGGATACAACATGCTCGAAATGATCTGATGATCCACATTCCACCTGTTTTCAAGATTAGTATTTGAACAGAACGAATTCGGACTTTAGTTTATGAAGAAGTGTTAGACACCAGTAAACGTAGAGTGTATTTGTTTAGAACGAACGTGCAAGACTATCCTTTAATATTGTGAGCAATAAGTTTGTTTAGTTCAGCAATTGTTGAGTGTTTTAATTAATTTTCACACTATTTAATATACAAACAATTACCATTCAAAATAGGACTTATCGCTTGCGCCAACATTTCGTTTTTCAATCTAACAGATGTAGTTTCAAGTGCATTCCGGAATGCACACGTATTGAGTTGGATGATGCAAGTGTTCCCCGCCTTTCGAAGTCTATAGTAATAAGAGAAAGCAATATCTGGAGTGTAAATCCTTATTCGCTTCTTGCCTTGGTGCTAATCTGATTGATATTGTTCAGTCAAGATTATTGCACTGTTGTAATGCAACCATTTTCCGTCGTCAGTTATTGATAGAAACTCTTATTTTGTAATATTTAAAATCCAATTTTCAACACATGAATGCACTGCCCCCACCCGCTCAACTTTTCATTTTATTTGGCATTTAAAATGTCATCTTATTTGTGGTACAGGTTTGTACGCGTATATAGAATATTCAGAAGTACTTAAGATAGAACCAGAGTCAGAATCAATTTTTGAATTGACGTAAGCTTCTGTGTCTCCTCTCTTTAATAACTGTCAATATTTTCGTGCTGAACATAAATACCGCAATTTTTGAAATATTTTAACGAAATTTGGTACAATGACTTGCTTCCGCCTAATGATGATGAACTCTTTTAAAAATGGATTTAATTGTATTTTTCTCTTTTTCATGGGCAACTATCCACGTAATTGGTGGCTTCGAATTTTGAGAAACAAATCTGTAAATGTTATAAATGCAAAAACTCAACGACACTCTCTTTATTTTCATATAGTTTTGATAAAATTATAAAGCGAATGTTTGCACACAATGATGGAATGAAGAAGAATAAAAAAATTTTTATTTAAATACTTGATGAACGTGTATGGTCTTTATCTGTAGGCATTCCGCTATAGAATACGTAATGTCAGGCATAATTTTTTACCTCTTTAATGTTATTTTTCATCTTTATAGAATACATCACAAAGAAGTAAATTTGCATTAAATGATTATTCAATTCAATTTTCTACATACTGATAGTTTATTTTCCTTTTAATAATATCTCTCAAAGCTAATACTGAACTGTTGTTGAATTGAAAACCTGCACTCTTGCTTGCATAGAAAGTTATTAAAATTTTTACTACTAGCGCTTGAGATAGAAAGAAAGAAAGCAACATCTGACTTTTATTTGATTTGATTTAATAAACGTTTATGTTTACAGATAATGAAGATCTATTGTCGGTTATCTCCTCACAACAATCACAGACTTCACTTACAAATCGTACAGTGGACTTAACACCGCATACAGATGAAAGTAGACTCAAGTATCGCAATCAAATTTTGTATTGTCTTGAGAAATACCAGATAACAATATTGGCTACAGAAATTGGTATAGAAGATCTACAGTTGCCTCAGGTAAATTAATATGCATGCTTATGTTCTAATTAGGCCGTCTAGAAGCCGCATTCATTCTCATATTCTTTAAAGAGAATAAATAGGTCAATAATTACCGAATTTAATGATATGACTTACTTAGCTTTCATAGGATTTATACAAGTTGTGTGATCGCATGTGCTTGTGTGCCTGTGCGTGTATGTGTGTGTGTGTGTGTGTGTTGCTTTTGAAAATTAATTATGCGCGCAATTGGTTATTTCTTTGTTCATTTCTTCTTTTCTATTGCAGATTTGTACCACCAATTGTTGAATTAAAATAAAAAAAATAAAAAAACGAAAAAAAAAAGAAAACCCAAAACACCAGCAACAACAAACTCCCTCTAAAAATTATACTCATAAGTTTTTATTTTTGAATATTATCAACGAATTTATTGTTACAAAAAAAAAAAAAAAAGAAAGAGAAACACAATTATAACGAAGTGTTATTTTGTTAATTAGTTTAAAACACTCACTAACTTATACAAGAATACACACACGTATACAAATAGGCGCACATTTACACATCGCTTCCTTCCAAAAAAAAAAAAAAAAGAAAAAAATTTATTGCATTTTTGTAAAAAGAACGGTACTTCATTTATTGCTATATAATGGTGGGTCCTAGTAGTCAGATCAGCAAAATTCTGTTGGGTCTTTTATTTTTGCTTATCATATTTTACCTGTACATGGATGTACAATTGTACCTGCGTATACAAAACTATCCTCTTGAGCGGAATTATCACTTCATCACCAATACCAGCCAGAGCATTAAAGATACCGCCCACTCCTCCTCGCCCTCTGTGAATGCCGGGGCCACCGCAAGTTCCAGTTCAGCTGCCTTAGCCACCGATTTACCTTTACAGAAAACTCCAGTTACCTACGAATCACAAACCTGGCTGTCTTGCACATTGAATCCGTTATGTCATGTCACCGTGAAAGCAATATTATTGGATCACACGAATCATTATCTATTTGCACCACTAGCTACAATATTCGATAATGTTTTGGGTTTATCGCGCTCATCGTATATAACCGCAAATATGATCTCTTTCTTCCATGTGGGCGTCGCCTGTATAGCCGGTAGATTGGTTGCCTCCGATAGCCTCGGCTATAGGCGTTTAGGTGCAGTAATGTTCGAGTTTCGCACATTTCTAGATGACGTAGACGGGCATGTAGCTCGAGCCAAAAAGAATATTCGTGGCGAGCGCAGCGAAGTTGGGACTACAGGCTACTACATCGATGGTATATGCGATGCTCTCGGCTGTATAGCCTTATTATGGGGTATGTTCCATTATTTGAAAAATAATCCACCACGTCGTGGTTACCTACAATTGCCTATGGTTGATACGCGCGTCTCTGATGCCTCCACAAAAACTAAACTAAAACCCACCACTCGTAAAGTAGCCAAAAAGGTAATTAGTTTTACCGGCCAATTAATGCTTAGCTCGACCGCTTGGAATCGTTATATAGCGGTATATCAAAATATGCTAGAAACCAACGATGTATCATCTTTACAAATGTCTCATCAACAAATTGTCTTCAAGTCCACTTGGTTCTTCTGCGTTGCATGGCTGTGGCGTCTCGTCAATGTTCATTCACTACTACACTACGTCCTACTCAGCATATTCTGCGATAAACTTTGGGAATTTCTTAAGGCTATACAGTACGTCGGTTATGTGACGTTGCTTGTATGCATTTGTATAACTGAAATGCATCTGTTGGAGGCGCATAATTTTATTTATGGTGCTGTGATCAGCAATAATAACATGACATCATTTTGATTATTGTTTATCTTTTAATATCAAACCTCTGCAAGTATCCCCCCCTGTAGGGCATATGGTATTTAGACATATATTTTTATTTTTTTCTATTACTCTTTACTTTTTTAACGGGAGAATTATGAATACGTATACAAGAGAATATCTAAAATTCATTTATTTTTTATTACTATTATTATAAATGCTCTATTAAAACTATTAAAAATGTTATAAATGTTTATATGTATATTACTCTGTGTGTATAAAAAAAAAGAAAAACAAAAGCAAAAAAAAAAAAAAACAAAAATAAGTTTAATGTAATATTTTTCGTATTGAAAAGCATTAATTAAAGATATGTGTAGTTAAGAAGATACGATAAAATATATTTGTTTTAATGAAAACCTTTGATAATATTTAGTTTTGTTTTCGAATAGTTCAGATCAGTCTAAATTCGGTAATTATTTCGGGATCAATAATCGATGGGAATGGAAATCAATTTGAACAAATATCGTTATTGATTAATTCTTTTCTAGTATTTGCAAGAATTAGGATGGCATACTAAAGGTACAATAGGCGTTGTTGAGCCCCATAATGACCCTTCGATATCGTTGGCCGAAAAAATTATCTTCGATAAAGAATTTGTCGATCCTGAGGAATCGAAAATTAAGGTAAGTAACGTATACAGTTGTCCGAAACAAATGAAAATTTTTCCTTTTAAACTGCTTTCTACCTATCTACCAACTCAGCATTTACTCAGCTTACTTAGATTTTATCAACTTACTTCAAATATTTGGGCCTGTAGGTCGAATACAAGGAAGCAAAGACAGACGGACGGTCTAACAAAAGTTGAATCTATCACTAGTTCTTCTGGATGTTGCATACATTTCCAACAAGTTAATAAATTCTTTTAACATAAGTGAAAAGTCTATTTAAAATGCCATAAAAAAAAAACACTGGAAAAACAACAACAAAAAAATGTAGTGCAAGTTGCTCCTCATTTGAATTAAATATGTATTCGATGCAACCAACACAATGGACGTCAACAACGACAAGATCCCAGAGCTATAAGTATATAGCAGTGGCTATGCTAATTATCAAATTTTCCCCCATTTTCGGTATATTTTTTCCTTCGTCTGATCTAAGAATTGCTTACTTGGACTAAATATATCTCAGAATCATGGCATTTATGCATCTGCATGGCCTGCTTGCATCATTTTAGCAGCGAAAGATTCTACTGTTTTCCGAAAAACGAAACTACACTCGACTTTGTTACTATATATTTATCCCACACGTAGTTACGAAGTTATTTGTTGTTGCCTTTCGAAGAATCCAAGCAAAATATTTTGAAAACTGCTTGCGCCGTAATTCTAAAAATCACTTTATGCTGCAAAGACAAGTGTGGCAAAAACATTAATTGCAAACGAATAAACTCGGACAACTCCTTTTGCTTATTTTTACAAATTTCTTACTCGGAGCGATTTTCTAACACTGAAGTGTAAACGCTTTGTCAGTTTTTGGAGCTTAAAAAAAAACAAGTTTGAAAATGCCCCGTACTGCTTTGCTTAATTCAATTATTCACATAACGACTTTTCAAAATGAGGTGTTATATGCGGACTGGTCTGATCCGAACCTTTTTCACCTTGGGCCAAGACGGATATCGGTGTCGGTGTACCAGATTTCATCAAAATTTTCCGAAGATTTGCAAACACAAGAAAAAAAGAAGGCGGACAGACGGACAGACAAGTTTAGAAAGTAATTCTGAATCGTTGTAATAAAAAGCGTAAAAAGCGTCTAGTTCACAATTACTCTCTGATTGGATTCATATAATAAAAATCAGGTCCTTCTGGTTGTTGCATTGATTTGAAAGTGCACCATGTGCAACTTTTTTAAGTAGGAAAGTTAGCCTTCCACATTTATTTCATCTCCATCAAATTCAATTCGCTTAAGGGCCTTCAAAACTTTTTTCGAATTGCCTTGATATCTTCAATCGAGTCAAAACAATGTACCCAGAGACTTTCAAGAGCCACTGCATTAGAAGTTAAGTCAAGCTATGTTAGGTAATAGGTATTGAATTTCTGTTTCAAAGCCTTATAGAGTAAGAAGATGGAATATCTTGACGCAGGATCTAAAAATTCTTGCCCACAATTCTAATAACAAGTATATTATGTAAAATTCACTTTGGTATATAAAAGTCTAAATTTTTCAATTCTTTACCCACTGATATTATTTTAATGAATATTTTTTTTTTAATTTTTGATTCATAGCGTTTATCTGAGGATTCTTTGTTGCGAGAACTATTTGTGGATCCGATACTTACGACATACGGTGTCGTTATAATAGACGAGGTTTACAAGCGCAGCATTCTGACCGATACTATTCTGGCGCTATTAAAGAAAATCGTAAGGAAACGCGGTTCCTTGAAAGTTATTTTAGTTTCTAACACTAAAGAAGCATCTTTCCTTAAGGAATATTTTGATCAAAAAAAATTGAAAAATGATAAAACCTCGAGTATAATCTTAAGCATAGATGACGCAAATTTATTTCAACATATCCATTATTTGAATGCGGCTTGTCCCGACTATGTGAAAAAATCTGTCGAAACCATTTTAAATATACATAAGCAACAACCTGTAGGAGGAGATATTGTTGTATATTTGGCCGATGAAGATGAGATTGCCGATGCTATGGATTTGTTACGTAATTATATAAGTGCGGAGCATATAAAAAATTTAAATTATTTTAAAATGTGCCAAACGAAGAACGAAAGGCAAACCGTATTTTTTCCAAAAACCGAAGGCAAACGTAACGTAGTCTTCACAACAAAATTATATCAAAAATCTGTCACTCAAGATCGCATCACCTACGGTAAGAAAGTATAGATGAAAAATGTTAAGTTTTTGAATTCAAAATAATCTCGTTTTTTATGTTTTTTCTTTTATTTCTCTTAAAAGTTATTGATAGCGGTTTTATGGAGGTTGAATGGTTTCAGGCGGAAAAAAAGCGCTACAATAAATTAATTGTCCCGGTTTGCAAATTTACAGCATCTTTACGTGCCAAATGGTGGTCCAAGCATAGGGCGGCTAAAGTATTTCGTTTGTACACAAAAGAAGGGTATATGGCGCTACCTGAACGAACCCTGACAGAAATGCGTCGATCTAATCTCTGTACTATTGTCATGTATTTAAAGACGTTAGCGGTGGATAATATATTAAGATTTAATTTCCCATCGGCACCACCAGCTAAGAACCTTTTAGCTGCTTTGGAAATATTAAATGCCTTAGGTAAGAGAATATGTGAACAATACACATGCATAATGTCCAATGCAACATTATATATATATATATATATATATATGTATAGAGTCTGTATATAGATATCTTATCTACTTTTAGAAGCTTTAAATGTTCAAGGTCATCTAACATTTCCTTTGGGTTATTTTCTCGCTGATGCTCCTTTGCCGCCAATGCTTGGCCGAATGCTCTTCAAATCTTCGGAATTGAAATGCAGTGATGAAATTCTAACTATCGTATCCATGCTGCAAGTGGAGCCTGTCTTCATTATAACCACTAATAATGTAGCCGATTCTCATAAGCAAGTCGCCAAACGGATTTTTGAAGCGGCCGAGGGTGATCTCATAACATTGCTTAATGTCTATACCGCTTTCGTGGAGAATGGGAAAAGTAAAGAATTTTGTCGAAAATACTATTTAAGCTATCGTCATCTAATGAGGGCTGTAAGTTTGCGAGGCCATCTGGCTTGCAGTGTGCTTAATAAGTATAATCTTCGCTTGATATCCTGTCGTGGCGATTTAGAGAAAATATTGCGTTCAATCACTGCTGGATACTTTATGAATATTGCTTACTTACATCCCACGGGAGTTTATCGGGGTTTACGTTGCGGCTCGGAACTATACGTAGATCGCGATTCGTCAATATACACTTTGACGCAACCAAAGTATTTGACATACTGTGACCTTTGGGAGCGTTCGAAGAAGACATTTATGCAAAACGTCACTGTCATTAAACCCGAATGGCTAAGCGAGCTGGCTCCACATTATTACAAAGAGAAGTCGGTAAACGCTGATCTAAAAAAATAGGTTTTTTTTTTCACTATTACAACCAGTAAAGGTATTCATCGAATAATCATTTTTAAGCGATATTGAAATATAAATTTTTTTTTGCACATCTCAACGCATTTTCAGTTGTTGATGTGCTGAATAGAAGAAGAAGAAGAAGAATATTAAACTTTCTACTTAAATTCTGAGACTAAAGTGTAAGTGTTTTCCTTAATTGATCGTCAAGCTCCAGCACTTTAATAACCAGTTCGTATGATAATCTGTCAACCAAGGTTATCTATCCAGTCAAGGTCATCTTCAGACGCTAGAAGTAGATTGCTCTTACGATTAATCACTATAGCCAGTCGCAAGAAGTATCTTCTTTATGTACAAAAAGAGTTCAAGATGAATAGGACACTGAATAAACTCCATATTGCACTGCCTACACGAATTAGGCGTAATGGTGACATCAATGTTTTGGCTTCCAAGAGCGCTGATTTTTTGCCGCAACTTCGCAAAGCTTCTGCATTTTTATGTTAGTTGACATTATATACATTTGCTCCACCTTTCAATTGTAACCCTTCTTGACCATCACCTCGACGTTGTTAGAAAAAAAATTCAGCTTTATTCAGAAATTCGGGCTCCTTAGGAACACATTCCGTTTTAGGACTTGTTGCTCAGTTTTCTACAATGACTTGCCTAGGACGATTTTTTCATTTTAAGCAACAATAGCAAGAATAGCTGTAGAAAAGTTGTTTAAAACCCCTGGAATAATTTGATGCAAGCATCACCGATAAATGTCAATCTATAAGTACACCATCCATATAAGAAATCATAATTGAACGAAAAGAATTTGTGGCAAGGGTTTAACGTGGGTTCCTGCCTGTAAGGCTTAACCCCACGGTGGCCCAAACCACTTTTTAAGCGTACTACGCCCCCTGGCGAGTTAGACAATCCCCACAGAGTAGGGGCCTAAACAGCACCAGAGTCCAGATCAGTTTATTGTGTATGGAACAATAAACCCCACTCTGGTAAGTGGCGAGGGCCTAGCTGCACTCATTGTTCCATTTTTAGCTAGGAACTCGCCAACCACAACCACCACGAGTACTCCCCGAAGGGCCGCACCCAGTAGTCAGGACTCACCAATTGATCAACTGACTGCTTCCGCCATAAGGCTTCCACTGTGCTTGTTGATCAATTACCACCTTTACCCGCAGGCATTCATGACATGTGTTCAAAAGTAAAAATAGGTAAAAGGGGAGAACTTATTCGTCATACCCCTTTTCCATTCTTGCATGTATTAATTAATTTACCAGACATTTTCTTTCATTCGGCCAAAGGGAAAGCCGTCCATCAATTCCTTTTTGCATGTATTAATTCATTTACCAGACATTTTCTTTTATTCGGCCAAAGGGAAAGCCGTCCATCAATTCCTTTTTGCATGTATTAATTCATTTACCAGACATTTTCTTTTATTCGGCCAGAGGGAAAGCCGTCCGTCAATTCCTTTTGCATAAATAGTGTAATTAATTTATTTATTTGTTACGACTTAAGAACAAGTCCATCATATACCCGCAGGCATACGTGGCTTAGTGAGCGAGCTTCCTGACCCCCGTGGCTCCCAGTTTATTTTGCAAAGCCTTATGGCACACTTTGGGCGTTTGTTAAAAACAACCGTACTTGCTTCGGATCCTCCATACTTTCCAGGTAGCTAACACCTAGTGAACTACTTTTCTTCAAGATATATAGGTCTCGGGTATTGCACTGGACATGGTAGACAATCTAATGCACTCTACCATGCACTCGCTAGATTACTACCTTCATTGTACTTAAACCCATTCAGTGTATTTCCTTGGTAGTAACTAGCTATTGAGTAAGAGCTCTTCTTCCAGCCAACCCCTCCACCATCTATCAGAAACTCGTCGCCGAGTTAGCAGCCCAAAACCTTAAACTCTTCTTAGCCGGCCGAAGCCGTTGCCCGGGGATCACCGCTGGGAGGTGAGAGTTTCGGCACATCTATACTTCTTATCAAAGCATAGTTCATCTCAGAACGAAAAGAAAGATTAAATCTCTTAATAATAAGTCAGGTAAAAGATTCTGGCATTTTGTTCAAGCGATGGCTTACAGCGTATGCGAAGGTTGACAGCCTGTTAGTAATTTAAAATAAATAAAACTTTATAGTCGGACAAGGCAGACAATCAAATACCATACACTACTTCGCTTGTACAGTTATCCATTGATTTCCGTGACAATACACTACAAATTGCACCTTGTGTTCATGTTAAGGTGTACTTTTCCTCGAAGCCCTCATATCAAAGCGTGCTCAAAATGTCAACCGACATGGTGCAACTTTAATATAAGCGTTTTTATTATTTTACATATATTTTCCTCATAAAAAAGTTATAAATTATCTTCTTATATAAGAAGCCACGTGTATGTATTGGCATGTAAAGAATGGGCCCATTTCATCCACATTTCCTACGATTAATTATTTCGTTATTATGGGAATCAGTTTTCATTTAAAAATATTAATTGTTACCATATAAGGGTCCCTTATTCATAAGAATCCTTATATGCGGTGATGTCCAGAAAATAGACCAACTTAATTCGAATTTGTAACAGATAGGATTTATTCTTATGGTCTAGATTTCACCATAAATCATTAAAAGCTGGGTGAAGGCTCATTTTTCATGAGAACCTTTCTATGAGGTGGGATGCAAAAAATAGATCTACATGGTCCAAAAACGACAAGAATTATTTCTTTGTGAAATTAATGTCACGGACCAATTTTTACCACGAAATATTGAAAAGTAGACCTTTTTATTGTATGAAAATTCAATTTTCGTATTAACGATAGAACGGCAGGGGGTTGAAAAAATTGCCCCATCTAATCCAAATTTTTCACATCAATTTAAAATATCTAAATGCTATCACTCGGCGAATTTTTGATGAAATGGAAAACTACGTCCTGTAAGTTGATAGAATAAACATGGACGGACAGACAGAGAAGTTCAGGTATAATAAAAGATGGCTCTATCTCAAGACGTTGGGGGTGTTACAAACGCCGGCACATATCCCTTCTACCACAAGTGGGCTAAGGTATAAAAAAACAATTATGTCCTTTATGTAAACGATTTATGAGTTTATGAGTTTAAGTGTGAGTACAGTCTGTGCAGTAGGCAAGAGGCTTTTCTAATTAGTACGGGACTCCATCTAGAAGCTTGTCTCACAAAAGAGTAAGAGTTGGTCAACGAGATGGATTATAGTTCTGCATGGAAGGATTGTAACGAAGATTCGTTCCTCTACTGTAAGTGGTTTGTGGTGAATGGTTACTTTGCTCTTGAGTGCACATGTCCTCAGATCGGAGAACAAAATCCTGACAAAGAGAGTGAATATCGGTTACGTTTTTTTACTAAAACACCTTTTGACATTATGGTAAAAAAGAGTGCAATGCAAGTGTTGTCCAATGGTTATCAATCTGAAGAGGTGTCATGTTACCAGTGAATGCTAAGGATATCAAAATTTTCAATTCAAATAAATTTAATTATTTTTATGCATTTTATTAAATGGACACTGAATTGAATGAACATTTAATAGAATGATTAGGTTAAGCTGCAACTTTTTACGTCCTTTTGCTTAATGTTTTTGATGGTCCTTATCCTTATCAACGTGGGGATGATTTTTAATGTATTCCAAAGCTCTCAGGATAGCTGGTGGTGTTGGTGGGGCTGTTGGAATGATGGCACCTTGAGGACGGTAACCATTTTCATCGGCTGTATAAGTGACCTCCACTGGAGTCCCATCTTTAGTTGTGAAGTGAAAATTGCCACTAACCGATTTCCCATCGCCAGACTCTACACCACCGATGCCGTTTGTAACTTCATAGCCGTACTCAAAATGACCATGAGCATCGTTTTTCTTATAGTCCATCATAACATGAGCATGAGCGTCATCTTCCAGTGCATATACGCTGGCCAAAGCCAAAAAAGCAATTAATAAAACCTATAAGGAAGTGCATGTAGACGATTGAATGAAATATTAATGAAACTATCATTATTTGTTTGTCTTCCGTTCGATGATTAACTTACGTATTTGAACATTTTTTTTTCGTTGTCGTTGTTCTTGTTATTATTTCTAACGCTTTAAAGGCTTCTTTTAAGCTTAATTGGAGCTTTGATGTGAAACTGATTTGTGATATTCGAAAATACATTTATTTATATGCAAAAATAATTCTAAAAAATAATATTTTGAAAATCATTTTATCTTCGTTTAATTCCCGCCACTTGACACACGCAAAAAACTTGATATTCGATTAAAAAAAAAAAAAAAAACAAAAAACAAAAATCAATACTATAGAGAAAGTTAAAGATTAGTAAACAAAGATTCAATGCCCGATATTTGCAAGTTCAACTGGATTTTTAATTTACTCAGATATAAGCGCATCACACTTCTTGTCATTATCATACAATGTTTAATTTTTTTTGTATTAAACAAAAAAAAAAAAAAAAAAAAAAAAAAAAAAATAATCAATCGAACCTTACGGTAGTCAATGTCGCTACGCTCATCAAAAGATGCTTACATGCATGACCTAAAGATATTGAATCAAATTTGGGTTTAATTATTTTTAAATTCAAAAACATTAGTTAGACTACACCGGGTAGGCTGGAGGCAAATATGTGTTTTTTTTTTACCAAAATATCCTTTTTTTCATGTTCAAAAGAAAGAAAGTGTAAGAGAAAGACTAAAATCTTAAAAGTGTTCGCATCTAAGGCTGTTCGTCTTATTGAAAACTCTATCGCATTTGAGACTTGAACTCGCTACGATCAGGTTATTATTTGAGATGACACAGTTATTTGGGCGGATAGGGAATTAGGTAAATAGGACTAAAGTTCTTGCAAGTAATGGTACGCGTTCACCAACTTGCTCAACTGAGAATAGTGTTGTTATGAAGGCTGACATATGGACAGATTTTGTTAGATCTGCAAGACTAAGGAGCTAAATTATTTGATATTTAGCCTTAAAGGATAATTCAATAGACAAGGATCAGGAAAGGTCAGGCCTCAAGGGCAGGAAAGTTTCGTATAATCTCAGAAGAAACATGGACAGACCAGCCGACTTGACGCGATCTAACTAGATTCCGCCAGATTTTAATGTAAAATCTTAAAAGGTAATCCGAGAGATCTGGCTGGTCAATCATTTTTAATGGCGACCAAGCTTCGACAATAAAATCCTTGTTTTGCATATCTTTCAGATAAAACTTGGACGGGAGATTATAATAAGTAATAATTTTTACTATGAGGACTCATACATAATTGATTAGTCTATAAATGGGAACATACACACAATTGGCTAACGCTGATAGAGTAAAAGGATACAATGAGCCGGTCTTTCTTGAGTTCTTAGGAATTTCTTAAAGAAAAAAATTATTGAACTCGTGGACTTTATTACTTAGTTGTTCCAACTGCTGTTTGATTATTCTCAAAAATGCATTCAGTGAATTTTTTCGCAGCTATACTTACGAACATGTGGGAATTGGATGAATTCTTGCTGGATGGAGTTGCCTTTCATCAACAATTAACAATTTTCTGACTTCTTTTTTTTTTGGTGTTACAAACGAAATGAAAAATTAACATACTTTGAAGTGATAGCAAACAATTCAAACTAATCTCTATCGGTTTATGAACTTTTTTTAACGAGACGTCCGCATAAATTAGCATTTAGAAATGGATTAAGTTAAATCTATATCTAGAGTTTATTGCAATGCACTGCTAATATCGATTATCAACAATTTAATAAGTGGGCTAGAGATCAGTGAACTTTTCTTAAAAAAGAAAAAAAAAAGCATCCTTACAAACTAATGTGATTCGAAATTTTCGCACGACTATTGGGATTGATAAAATCTTACTTTAATAGGTTATGAGCAGCGGCTTTTTCAGAAACGAGAGAGGCAGAGTTGTAATAATCGATATCTGTGGATTATGGACTCATTGTAATAACTTATGTAGTTTTCATAATATTGAATGATAGATCTTCCGGTAGAAAAATTGCTGTTGAGCTTACTACCGGTAGATTGACCCAACAGATTTTTGTATCTTTGATCATGTTCGCCTGATCCGAACGGCTCTGACTTTTACCTATTATCCAATCTCAAAACTGCAAGCATTGATTACGAAATGAATTAAGTGCACGAACAGGATTCTATCGGTTTTACTAATAGACGTTGTTTGCCACGATTACAATTTTTGTGGTACTTTTTTCAAAACTTCTATATAGTGTACCAGGCCATATGTATCCCTGACATTGGAAATATCCAAATTCGTGTTGAATAAAAAATGCATAGCTTTTTCTGTTTAACCCCTTAATTCCCATAAGAAACAAATGAAAATACTATAGTGGGGTCCGGACAATCATTAAATATCGTACACCACTTAATCCAGTTATTCATGCAACGCGTTTTCTAAATAAGATTCAAACATGGCAGAAATGATCCGGAAAAAATGCACTCAGCTCAATGCAGAATATACTAAAAAGGCTTTATAAGTTCAACATATTGCTGAAGAAAGACCCAATTATGTATTCTTTAATGGAACTGAAAAAGTGATATAAATCGGGCAAAACGAAGATTTGTAATTTTTGTATTTTTGCTAATTGCTAGACATAAACATGCGATACAGAAAAGTGGGCGAGTACAACGATTTCGACGATGAATAGTAGCAAAGAAAAAAGCACACTATGTTCTCTTTGACGTCCTTTAAATTCGCCTAAGAAGATACAATTGAAATAAGGCGGCCACAGCCTATTACACACTTATTCATATAACGAGTTTTCGAAAACAAGACACTTTCCGCAAGGTGGTCGAAGAAGTGATTTGATTCGAACCATTTTCAATAGCTTTCACCCTTGGGCCGTACCACGTGTATCAAATTTTATCACAATATCAAGAAAACTGTGGGCCACAGATTGAAGACAGTGGACATTGCAATTTCTTTGAAATTCTCATGCACTTTAAATACCATAACTGAGTATTAATAAATAATAAAAATTCAATATCTGTATGGCGTAGTATAAAAAGAGGATTAAAAATATTCTACATCTTATTTGGTAGTGAAGAGATTTTAAAGAACTTAGGTTAGAATATAAGCCAACGAGACGGGTAGACAGATGGACAGACTTAAACTGCACCGGTCGGTATAAGAAAAGGTGGGTTCTTCTCAATTCCTTCGGAGTGTTAGGTACACAACAGCGACGTGGTGTTTAATGAATGACGAATATCGAAAACAATTTTCTAAAACAACAGCAGTAATAATAACAAATGTTTTTTGTAGCCCTTTGGCGAAAATGACGCCTATAGGCACATTACCTTTTATTTGAAGATACATATGACGCGTACAGCAGCCCTCCATTGTTAGTATTATAAAACAAAAAAACAAAAAAAAAAGGGAAGGTTTTTTTGAAAGGGCCACCGAATCTGAAAAGAAATAAAACGGAACCAAAAATTTTTTCAATTGGAAAAAGAAAAAATGCGCAGTAAAATAAGATGGAACAAAAGGAAATTTATTGATGATAACAACAGAAATTCGTACAAAGTTTTTGATTTTTGTTTCTTTTTTTTTTTTTTTCAATTTCTTACTTTAAAGCTTCTTATGCCCTAAGTATGTATGATAAAATTTATGGTCCTTTCCTTGTAGGTTATCAATTGCACCTTAATTGTAATAGTAATACATAAATGTATTATTTTTCTTATATAAAATTAAATTCAATTATTAGTATAATTTTTAAACAAATTAACAAAATATATTTACGGTGTGGATGTGGGTGAGCGCGTGTGTGAATGCATTTCATGTAAAAAATTTTAAAATTTATTATGTTGTGCAACCAATTGCATATCCGTTAAATACTTAATAATGTGAACTTTAGCTTCGGCCTTTTGTCGAACGCCCAGCGTATTTAGCATTTCGGTAACGACTAAACCGAACGATTGATCTTCCGCACTAACACCGGATGATATGGTATTTTGGAAAATTTTTATAGGATTCAACATATTTTCATTGTGCTGATCGTCATCGAGACGTTCGCGTTTCAAAACTGGTTCGTAGTAAAAAGTCTTCTGATCTTTGCCAGCCGTTGTTGTGGTAGCCGTTAACTGATTGTCGCCTGTAACTGTAATTTCGACTGTTGAATATACGAAAATCAACTGATATGCTTTCTTAAGTAAAATGGCTCTTTCAACTTACCATGCGGATGCAAGGCTTGGGTAGCACCGGGAACAGAGGTGCCATTAAAATGAAATAAATCAACGACCGTATGCTGCTGTTGAGAAGACTGTTGCTGTTGTTGCGCCGGTTGTTGTGCCTGCTGTTGAGTTACTTGATTCGTCGTATTGCTCGCATTACCCGCTGTTGTAGTAATTGGTCCACATTTACCTAACAAAGATTCACGGTATTGCCTGTAGAAAGCAGAAAAAAAGAACGCAAATTTAATTACAGAAGAAAGCTAACCTCGATCTGTCTATACCTTATAGATTCCACTAAAAATTGCATCTGTTTAAAATACCGCCAGCGTGATCCTGTACTTAATTTTATTTCCCTAGCGAACTTATCACGTAAACTTTTCCAGCGTTTTGTACACTTTTGCTCTGCAAATACAAGAACAAGAGAGAAATCAGATGTGACCTGCTAAACTTCATTTTTTTCGCTTTTTAGGCAAATCTCTAAAACCTGCACAGGTTAGATTAGCTTGGTCAGACACCCTATCGGGTAATTAATCCGTTATTTCCGGCACATCCAGCTTGTAAGATAACCTCACCTATACCAACACTGGAGTATCAGATATGAAAGTTTGAGTATGGTACAAACGTTATCCTCGAAATATCTTGCAAAGCAAATGTGGTATTAAAGTGAAAGGGCAATGAGGGGGTCGATATCGAATTTCTATCCGGTAATGTTTTAATGTTATCGACACTACCCTTGTCTTAGCTACGAACATATTCTTGCTTTTACTTGTAGATCTATTTGTTAAATTTTGCGTTAATTCTTAGTATAGGTGACAATGTCGACGACTTCTCCAAGGTGGGCTTCACGCCGCTGAGACGCCATAGATGACACAAATTATATCGATGTTTAACATCTACACCTGGCGGCACGCCTTGCTCAGACGAGTTCCCTAGAACCTTTGGCAATTAATATAGTTGAATTGTTAATGATCCTGCAGGAGAGAGGGTCTGCCCCAAGCACCGAGTATCAGAATGAAATTTTTGGTATAGTCCATGCCTTCCTCTGTGGACAGGGCGAAGTTTATTAAATCCCTCTAATCATTCAATGTCCTACAAATTGGGGATAACTACAGCCATCACGAGTACTGCCCTGCACCTAACCGATCAGCCTTCACATATAGTTTAACCTGTTGCGTTCAGATAGAAGAACTGTAGAAGATACTGTAATTTCCAATAATACCTAGCAAAGAACCGCGACCAGGGCTAGTAATAATTAAATTTATTAGACACAACATCAAAATTAACTTATTCAAGATACCTACAGTAATTTGTTAAATATTGTACGTTCTAAATTCGTATTCCTACACTTATTTTATGCGTAGATATAATATTTTATATATTTTATGTTATCAGAAACATATTCGATATTACTTATTAAGATATCTATCATCTCGATTTTGGGAGAAAATTTTAGTTGAACGTTTTTCGTATATTTATAGGTAAATGTTATTTACAGCATAAAGTCATTCGGTTCGTTGCATTGCTTATGTTCATAAAAATTCAGAAGAGTGGCTCGCTCCCAGATTCGTTAATGCAACATTTTATCTCTATACCATCGTCATAGTTTATGTGGTTTTAATTGATTAGTTTCGACGATGTTTACGTTCGAAGGTGAACAAGATCAATTTTCTAGGATCTGCCGGAATAGCGTAATTGCTTCTAAGTTTTTCCTTCGATTCACTGAATCAACAACCAAAAATTTGCTATGATGTGCGAAAAAGACCCAACGTAAACCACAAAGTTCTTTGTTTGATCCTTAGGGTTGGTTAGATATAAAATTATTAGTCTTTATTTATTTTATTATTCTTTCATATTTCATAAATTATATTACACTAATGTCGTGTTCATTTTGCGTGTTAAACGTCCGCCATTTGTTTTTTTTCAAATTTCTATTAATTTTTCACACTATTCGTCCGTCACGCAAGCTTTTTTTTTAGTTCAACTCGGTTAATCAATCAATTAATGTTTCTCATGCTGTCATCCAATATGAAAAATGCGATTCCTAGCAAATATAATATAAATAGTTTCCAAAGTTATCTACTAAAATTTCGTAAATTTTCCTAAATCATGGCGATATTTGTTACTTTATAGATTATTCTGCTCCAAACTTAGGGAGTTCTATATTATTTTTCCAATGGAATACATGCTCGCCAAAAAACGAATCTTTGGTATTTATTTCCCTATCATTGTAATTATTAATGTCATGCACGTCGCTTAGTCGATTTATCGATTCGTGGGATCTCTGAGAAGTCGTAAATTTCAATACTGGTTTGTATATTTAGAATATCACTGTAAACAAAGAATTTATATGCGGGACCTTCGTTTGTCGTAATTTTTGCGGTTGCACGCACTCCAACACCTGGCAGACACAAGGACAGACAGGATTAAATCGATAAGGTTTGCGTGCTGCAAAGCGATGCATAAATCTAGCTTCACTCCTAAGCGACCGATTAAGATGTGGTTAAAAACTCTACAGGTTTTCTCTAATATCTGTGTATTTGTCGTTTTAAGAACACAACAATATTTTTTTGATTATTACTTATATACTACATTTTGTTTCCAGCGTATGGTAAAAGAGATTTCATTTAAACTCGCAACTCCTGCACTAAGTTTTATAAACAAATAAAACCAATCATTTGACGTTAACGCGGCAGAGACAATTACACAGTATTATCACAGCGGCAGTGCGCGCTGCTTTTCAATAGCGCAGAGACGAATGCAGCTTGGCGACAAAACGTAACACAACAAAAAAAAAGAAAAACGCGACAAATTCATGCTCTCAGTCATATATCATTAAATAGAAAACTCAACGCCGCGTCGCTGTGTAGTGGTTACAAAAGCAGCAGAACTTTACCTAATGTCTACTACAAAATATGAACAACGAACTCGCCACCCATAGCCTGTTAATCTTTGTTAAAGGGGATTCTGATGTACAAAAAAAAAATTATACACTTCAGCTTTTGTTATTACTGCTGCAGTTGATTTACTGATTTACTTTTGTTAGTGTATTTCGAGGCAGAGTTATGTAGGCAGATGTTTGTGGGCACATTTAGTATTACACAGCATATGCTACATTGCATATAAATTGACCCCTTTATTACCATCGTTACTGTTAACACATTGAATGCAAGTAACTGGAATCTGTAGTAAACATACCAGGCACACCTAATGTTTCGGAAATTTGCTTCCATACTTGGGCTTTTCTAACGAAATGTTTATAATTATAATGTGATCGATCATAGATGACGGGATTAATTCGAACAGCTTCAATTAAATTCAAATCAAACTGTTGCTCCATACTAGTGTCCATTTTCTCCATGATGCGCGAAGCGCGTATAATCAATTTTTTATTTAGTTTTAACTTCTCTGCCGACTTTAGCGCCTTTTTTCCTTTTAGCAAATTAATGCCAACTTTTCATTAAATAATAGTAAAACTTGTATTTAATACACATATCTCATGAAAAATTCTTCAACATATAAAAAAGCAGGATTTTTTTGCGTACATTTTTATATTTCTTTCAACAGCGTAAAGTATTATTACAACCGACAGACTGACGTTCGACGTTAACGAAAGCAGAAATCGTTGCTACAACGTTTCCAACGTTTCAGCTACGTCGAAGCAACAAATTCTATGGAACACAACATTGTTGCCAAATTATTTAAATTTCAATTTTATTACTGCTAAATACAGCCGAAGCTATAGCTTACTGACAATTATAAGGGGAAATAAAATAAAACTAGCGATAAGAATCTACCTGAACGAATTTTTCTATACAAATTTTTTGTTTCAATAACTATCGGACAGGATGGAAGAGTTATCAATAAACCCTGACCGGTTGGTAAAAGAACGCTATCAAGCATTCATGAAAACTCATCCAAAAGCTGTGATGGTAAGTCAAACGAGTTTTAAAACAATTAAAAAAGAGGCTGAACATTTAGATGTAGAAGAAAGGAAACCTTCCATAGGCGGAAGATGTACATCTTTCCAGCCGGGAACTACCTTATCCAGTGCTGAAAAAGCCATGTTAAATCAGGTGGCGTCTCGCGAGCGACAAGACCTTAAGTCTTCCGCGTTATTGTATCTATACGAAGTACATAATAATTTGACTTTTCAGTTCCTTCGCGTCCACGTCGCCCTGGAAAGAATGAAACCGAATTGCTTAGCTTTAATTGCAAAAATAACATTAAAGCCATCTGTTGTTCACAATCATTTTTTTTGTTCATTTAATTTTATTAAATATAAAACACATCAGTAATTACACAACTGCAATGTCTGATTCCTAAACATATAGTTACACTTCGGACCTTCGATGAAGAGTAAATATTAAAACACCTTATTCTTTTCTCTTTCGAAATTTGTGTAATTTTTTTGATGCGGTTGAACAAAATTTAAGTAAGTAAACAAAACTATCAAATTTCTTTCTTACGCTTCCTAGGCTTGATTTATTTTATCTATTTATTATTATAGCATTTTTATTATTCTTATATTGCATAATGGCGCGTACAAGAGACCGCTTAGTACAAAGCTGCAAACATAATAAAAAAGAATCTTAAACTTATTAAATGTGTCAAGTTATAAGAAAAACCATTATATTTGCGGTCACGTGAAAAATACTGGATTTACTCCTATATGGATACAGCTGCAGTCCCAACACTTTATCTAGGCACATCTGAAAAAATAGCCCATCAAAAAAGAAACGGAATAAATGGGTGTGTGTAAAACGGACTGAATAATGAATGGGACGGACAACAATATCTCATCAATATCAGAACGGTTAAATGCAAGCTTGGTGTATATTAGGTATGTTAATCTAGATAATCAAAATAAATTTTTGAAAAATGGAAATAAGCTTAAGCAAAATTGAAATACATTTTCACCAAATGTAATCGAATTTCCGCAAAATGGAAATATAATTCAAACTAATGAAAATGTAAGTAATGAAGATGAGTTTCCGAAGAAACCGACAACTTCAAAAAGAAAATGAAGTTTAAAAAAAAAAATTATTAGCGTATTATCACACTGGTGAAGGTCGTCCAGCCAGCAAATATGCCAAATTTTATGAGCGAAGATTTACGCCCCCATTTAACAGGACCATCGTTCCTAGTAAATATTCGTATCGTAAAAAAGTTACACGGTAGAGCAGATTTGTTCACAAAAATGAACTAAGGAAAATGATAGCAAAAGTAACAAATGAAGAGAAAATAATAAGTGTTGATGATATGTTCGTTAGCGAAACAATAGATTAGAATAAAGAGGCGGATTGCATGGACGACTGCGCCTACAAAGAACACGAAATAATACCATTATTAGCCAACAATAGGTCAACATAATTTGCCGGCAAAAGCTCGACAAGTAATTTTAATGTGCTTCTGCGTAAATTTCTAATTAACGCAAAAGATACATATGACGAGACTTTTCAAGTACTTTATAGCGAAAATATTGCAGAGTCAATTGGGAGGTTTATCGAACAAATTTCTCTTAAAATATTCCAAAGAGTCCCCTAATGAAGACCTGATGCTTGATTTGTGTAATGAGGTTGACGAGAGAAATTAATATTCGGACTTTGCATTGAAAAAATATGTTTTAATAGAAAGTCCAAGTCCGCTACAGGCATTTGTTATTTTTAATAACCGATTTGTCGCAAATTTAAAAGCCACGAACGAACGTATAATTTATGGTTAGATTGAATTTTTGAGTTTGATTTTTTTTTCTTAAATTTTTCATTTATAGGTTATATCTCTTATTGGTGATAGAATTAAATTTTTTCAGTTGACTATGCCGTTCAATTTGTTTTTTAATAACTAATTCGTTTGCTTTTTACTGGGGAGGCTTGGCGTTTGTTTAAAGCATTTAAAATCTTCGCGGCATACTTGCAGTTAAGATGACCACATGTGTAGATTTTCTATTTATTTATATATTGTTTTGTTCTTGCCAAATATTATATTAAATACGATATTAAAATGATTCATTTATGCAAATGCGAGAAAAAATTATTCTTAACTTATATATGTATCGTCCCAAATTTAAAGAGACAATAATTTGATCACCTTGATTCAATGCCTTGAAAAAAAGACTGACTCTGTATTTATTGCTGTTGCGTCACGTTACGTCTGCATAAGCAACCAAAGGAAAATCAAGAGGCTGCAAAGGTAATAATTTGTTCCATGAAGAAATAAAAATTTTTTTGAAATTTAAAAAATGTGTAGTAAATTTTTTATTGCTCTATCTGCTTATTTTTTTTTTTAGTTTGCTGGGAATTAAATCGACTTTACTTTTAAATTCTATTTTGAAAAAACAACATGTTCGCAGCCTTTCAAACATTTTGATTATGTTTGAAGCAACTGAAGTTGAAGATCATTGAAAATCATTGTTACACGTTTTCAATGTTTCATCTACGTCGAAGCAACAAATTCTATGAAACGCAACATTGTTGCCATGCTGTTTTTTTATTTTTAATTCATTATTGTCAAATATTGTTGAACGTCTAGCTTATTATAGATATAGGAGGAAAGAAAATAAAACTAGTGATAAAAATCTACCTGTACGGGTTATTCTATAGAATTTTTTATTTCAACAACTATCGGACATTTTTACTGAACAGAAACTATATCATTTTGAAGTGAAGAAGAAGAGTGCTCTCTATTGTGAGAAAATGTAAATTTTGATGAATTAATAAAAATCTAGTAAATCCTTGATGATGTTGTAATGATAAATGATACGGAAAGCAGTGCAACTAGTGCATTAATACCATTTTTAAATATAATTTTTTATACATATATGTAATTCTTTATAATTACTATAATATATAAAGATAATTTTTTATCTCATTTTTCCTCTAAAAGAAGAAATATTAAAACAGTGTGTTTATATCACTTACACTTTTAAAATTTCTTGTTGTTGGAAATACTTAATAAAATGCAGCCATTGATAATATTGTTGCAAAAATTATTGTTAGGCTGGCAGTTGCGTTCATTGGATTTGTGATATTTTAATAAACAAAAACAAAAAGAAGAAAAAAAGATTAATAAAGAAATTTATAATTAAAGGAATCTATGTTAAGTGTAAGTTAATATCTTATACGAGAGATATTAAAGAAATAAAATAAAAAGAAGTAAAAATGCCTATAAAGTAGGGCGGCAAAAGACTTCCAAACGTATAAATTGTATCAACACCAGCAAAGAGGTTTCGCATTTGAATTATTTTGCCGAAACAAAGCAACATCTTTCTCTAAGTCGCCACAAAGAATTGGTCGTGATTCATAATTAGAAGAGTAAAGCCCAGAGATAACGGTTTTCATGTAAACATTAAAAAAAAACATCCATGAAGTTATAGAGAGGTTGAGGAGGTATGGAAAAGCTTGACTCAGAGAAGAAGAAAAACATTCAGATAAAATCTTAAGATTGGCGAGAAATTTTAGTTTTATCATACTTTTCTAACGATTTATTAATCACATTCAAGACGAAATTAACGCAATTTTATTTATTTTATTTGCAGGGAATTTTCTTCGAAATTTTTCTTGCAGCAATTTCAAGATAAATATATTTTGAAAGAATTAAAAACTTTGGCACGCTCAACCGGTTTATTATACTGACTTGACTGACCTTCAGGTCGCTGTCATTTTGTTTACGTATGAGTACTTATCGTAACCGCAAAATGAGCCACAATTACAATGATATCCCTTTTGGAGTAGTTACTATACAACGTTTGGCTCGTAGTTGTTGTCCTCAATTAAGATGTAACAAACTGACGATGTAAGTAAAAATTAACAATTTTTATGAGAAGCTAATTAATTTTCTAAATTATTTCATTTTATTTAGTTTTAAAGTCTCGACATTCTTGTTAACCTACATGGCTTATACTTGTTACCATATGACAAGAAAGCCCATATCGGTAGTAAAATCTGTCTTACATGTTAATTGTTCTTCAAATATAGTACACAATTCCAGTTCCCACGATTGCGGTTATGCCCCTTTCGGTAATAAAGTATGAATTTCTATAATATATTTAATTGCAACTTTTCCTTGATTATAGATGGCAGCAATGCTCAAGCTTTATTTGCCATTTTGGACTCGGCATTTCTATTTTCATATGCGGGCGCTATGTTCATATCAGGCTTTGTTGGCGAGCGTGTATCTTTACGTTACTTCTTAGCACTTGGCATGATTGTATCAGGCGTTTGCTCGTATCTGTTTGGCGTTGCGAAGACTTGGAACATACATAGCATGGCCTATTTCGTATATGTTCAGGCGTGCGCAGGTGTGGCTCAAACGACCGGCTGGCCCGGGGTGGTAACTTTAATAGGTCGTTGGTTTGGTAAAGCTAAGCGTGGTCTAGTGTTTGGTATTTGGAATAGCCATACGTCTATAGGAAATATTTTGGGCACACTTATTGCGGCTCATTATGTAGAAATTGATTGGGCTTTATCATTTATGGTGCCGGGAATTATTATCGCTCTTTGCGGTTTTGTGATGTTCCTGTTTGTGGTCGACAGTCCCGAAATGGTAGGATGTAATCCTCAAGGACCAGCTGCCGCTTTGGAACGCGATACTGCCAATGAATCAGACATTGAAGACAATGAACGGGTAAATAATTAACTATGGGATTAAAATATATTTGTGCTGTCATTAACTTTTTTCCTTTTTTTCAATTTAATTTCGTAGTTAAGAAATCGTCCATCTGAACGTACTCCTATTCTAGACCGGTCGAATCCTCAATTAAATTCAATTCAAAGACCAATTAGCTTAAAAGACGCTCTGCACATACCGGGCGTAGTAGAATTTTCCTTGTGTTTGTTTTTTTCAAAACTGGTTAGCTATACATTCCTTTACTGGCTGCCTTTGTACATACTATCGTCAAGTATGATTTTTTACACCAATGATGAATCGAATCCTTTTTTTAATATTGTTGTTTTAAATTTTAAGGTACTTTGGGTCCCGCCTTATCGGCCGATTTATCTGTACTTTTCGACGTAGGTGGAATATTCGGTGCTATTGTAGCCGGTTTAATTTCTGATTTAACAGGCATGTCAGCAACCACATGCACCGTAATGTTGTTCCTCGCTGCCCCTGTGGTAAGTTCTTTCTTCTAAAATGGAAAATCTAAAAATAAATATATATCTGATAATAGCTGTTTTCTTAGCTCTTATTATATCAACAATTCGGCAATGTGTCGGTATTCATGAGTATATTTCTCTTGGTTACCACTGGTTTTCTGGTTAACGGTCCGTACGCCTTAATAACCACTTCCGTGAGTGCTATTAAAAATTGTTTACAATTGAGAATGTTTGAATAAAAATTTCTTTACATGTATTGTGCCGATTTTGAGAATAGGTCAGTGCTGAATTAGGTCAGCATAGTTCTTTAGAAGGTAACGCTAAGGCATTAGCCACTGTCACTGCCATTATTGATGGTACTGGTTCCATAGGTAAGTCAATAATCCATTTTTGTGCTTTTAATATTTCGCTAAATCGCAACGTCCGCAATGTTAGGCGCCGCCGTGGGTCCTTTAATGGCCGGCATGATAGCTAGTCGTGGATGGCAAGACGTTTTCTACATGCTAATTATATCCGATATATTGGCCATGCTGTTTTTGGTGCGTTTAGTGAAGAAAGAATACCATAAGTTCAGGCGTAGCACCAGAACGCGGATCGAGTGATCGAGTGATGATTGGTGATTGTATAACTTTTTTATTTGGATCCTCTTCTAAATGTGTTACACAAGCCAATTATTTTTTAGCACAATTTAATCCTATCTATATGTACTTTTATTATATTGATAGAATATAATATATATACATATTATTCCTTTGTATGCGTACGCAAATATACGTAGATATACATATGACATATTTCTTATTAGCCGCACTGACTGTACAGAATTATTATTATTAATGAAATAATTTAAACTATTAATTAAATAATTTTTTTTAAACCATTTTAAAATAATTAATTATTTAATTATAATCATAAAATATTTCCTACAAGTCATCTGAGACGAAGCTAGTAATAAATTAGTTTAAATTTTTATTTGTAAAATATAAAACCTTTCCATTGACGACGCAGATATCTGCAAGGAAAATATTTAGCAGAGTGTAGAACGAAATCTCAATATAGGGAGAATTGGTGAGACTGCATTTGATTGAAATAAAGCCACGTAATATAGAAAATAGAGAGACTTTAATTATTATCGCCCATACTCAGTCAGGTAGGAAGTCTGGTGCAGATGTGCTTTCTCTATAGCAAGTTATCGAGTTGGGATCTCGCGTACCGTAGGATGCAATGGAATGACCGACTAAGGCCCGTCCCAGGAACTATTGGCAGGGCGTTGTCACCAGATTAGGCGACCCAACTTCTTATATATGTATTTTATGATACCTATAAATAAAAATTGCAGAGGGTCTTCCGTATGTCTTATGCCTTGAACGCAGTGCGCCCACATTAGATTTCTCCTTCTGTGTGCAATACATATAGGAAAATTTAATCGGTTGTCTTGTGTCGGTGGTTATAAGACAACTGAGGATGTGAATATTGGCAATAAAAGTTTAAGGTGGACATGAGGGTGAAAAATTCCTTTAGAAGACTAATGAAATCCAACCACAAACGTACTCTTAAGTCTTATAAAAAAATTTGTATAAATAAAATTTAATTGGTACCGTGTTTTTTCGGTGCTTCTTCACTTTTCTTCTTCTTTTTATTTACTTCTTTACTTTAACAAATTTTCTGGAGATTTTTTAACAGATTAGCCGTTACTTGCTTGATACAATTCGTGGTATTTTTGACACTTTGTTGTCATTTACAAAAAAAATCAGATAACGGATTTATTTAAAACATTCAACAATATTTTTAAGTTTAGAACAATCTCACGAAACATAAAACATAAAAGTCATTAGTGTTGGTGGTATTCGATTACCAATCACGCACCAACTTCGGAAAAGGTGTACGAAGTGGTGACGGTATGGACAATTTTCGATAATTAATGCGTTTGGTAGGTGGCAAACGAAAATATTTGGTGCCTAACTCGACATACCGTTTGGCAACCATTTACTTACCTAGAACAATGTAGAAAATTAATCCTCACAATTCATATTATATGCGGACTATATATATATATATATTTAGCACTAATAGTGTTTAGCGAATGTTTTTTATTGCCCATTTTCGAAATTTTTTAATCCTCCTGCAGGGAGTGCGATTTTGGAGAATTTCGCGTTATGATCTTCCCGCCTTACTGTGTACTGTTACGGTCCGTGCACGAGAAAGAGAATGCTTCCTTGAAAGTTTATCTTTTATAAACCAGAATGAAAACAAGAGGCGACCGAATTAAACGTTAAGATATTAAAGCTGCTAGCTAGTAGCAAAATCTACTTCTGCAAGCACAAAATTTAAAGTTACTCTTAATTGCCATGCAACGATTGTAGATTCGAGCGGTTTCGGAAATATAAAGACCTAGAAGATCTATTGTAAACGTCCATACCCTTAGCCTTCCAGGTTTTCCCCCTCCCACACCTTTCTTTTTTGGATCGGAGCACTATACTGTGTCCCGTATTCTAAACGCCATACACATACATGTCTAATTCTGCAGATGGCCTCACATTCACATAGAATGTGATGGGACGTTTCACTCGTCCCTTGGCAGAATTTGTTCTCATATTTTTCAGATGGTACCTGAGGGAATTATGATCCGTGTAGGAGCCAGTGACTAAACGTAGACTGCTTCTTCACGATACTGTCAAAGACGTCTTAACTATAGTCGAGATAGAATGGCAAAGAATGGAAGATTGTTTTTGATTATATCTATAAGGGAAAGTGCAAAGCCTCGGAGCGATCAAAGTGGATTTGTCCTCAAAATGTTCACACCGACTTAACGGGAGGAAGAGAGAGTTATCAAGCGGCAGTAAGCGAGAAGTACAAATACCCTATATATCGTATACCAATAACATATAACAATAATAATTTCCAACTCCATTACGTTTCAAAAAACGTGCTTTTCAATAGTCGTAGTATTCGCTACTAAGCGACTTGCAAATTAGTCTAGATAATCTGGTACGAAAAAATTTTTTTTCTATTTGAACCTAAAAATGTATCTTATGTCGGGCTGAAAAGGAAATTAGGTTAAATGCATTTCCCGATCAATAACTGCAAAAGTGCTGCATAAGGTGTCGACCGAGTGATATATTCCTTGCGTCCACAACGTGCTAATGAAGCGGATGAGATCTCTGCTATGCTCGATGATTTGCTTACTTGCTTTATATTATAGCCTTCATAAATGTTATCTTAAAAGCTGATTCCTTTTATTTTATTTTATATTCATCCCCTTGTTCCACATTTATAATATTTGTTCTACTATTCTTCTCTATTACATAACATTTTTAATATAAAAAGACATTGAAACTTCTTTTATATTACATTACATTTGACTGTTTGAGGCCAATTACACAAGGCGCTTTTAGCGTCATACCATAAACCGGGAGGACAAACGAAATCAAAACGGACACCCTTTAGACATTGATAAAAACGCGAACAATCTTTGGGATTTGCGTACAATCCTTCTGAAGGACATCCCTCCCCTACCGAGGGGGAGACAGTGCTTGCTGGTATTGGAATGGAGGGCAATTCATTGATATCCTTGCCCAGTTTTAAGTTGATTGTGCTTAAAAGCGGATATTTCTTGCCGCATATACCTCGGAAATCATCCATTTCTATAGACCATAACATGGCTCCAGCTAAATTTAATGACTTTAACAAATCAATTTTCAAAGCAATGCTGCGTTCATCGTCATAACCTATCCATTGGTCATTTTTGTATTTATAAGGTACACCGTATTTATCATCCCATTCGTAGCGCCAATTAGTTGTTGTCTCGCAGATTTCATTGTAACCCAGCATACCCGGTTGGAAGGTGTAGGGGCCAGATTTACCCGGACCGACGCTGGGAGACCCTGCAGTCACTTGATTTGGATTTGCCAACCGAAAAGTGTGCCCATACATAGCTAAGCCCAGTACAAGTTTGGAAGCAGGGGCTCCTACAAAAAAAACAAGAGGGAAAAGCTGTTAAATGTTTAGGAAAAAATAGAAACATTTTACCTTGATTTAACCAATACTTTATAGACGCTTCCACATTGTTAGCACCCGGACCCTTTAGTGGCGCATTAAAACCTAAAACAGGATCATAACCCGTAACGAAATCATATGTCATGACATTAATGTAGTCGACGTATTTCGATATCTCCGGTATATTAAAAGAAATCTTAGCACTGTACTCGGAAGCTGCCACTGCCGTTATCAGTTCATATCCATAAGGCGCAAACCTATTCATACAAATGATATTAACTGTACGTAATTCACTTATGCAGATCTAGAAACATACGATTTTTTCAATTCTTTCAATAATGTTATAAAATTGACACGATCGGCGGACGCTCCACCACGTTGAGCTGGATATTCCCAATCCATATCAAGGCCATCAAATTGATGCGCTTTCAAAAATTGCAATACAGATTTAATGAAAATCTGCCGTTTATTAGGATCGGCCGCCATATTTGAATAATTTACAGAACCTTCATTCCAGCCACCTATGGCTGCTATGACTTTTAGCTTAGGATTGATGTCTTTTAAAGCCATTGTCCGCCTTATATTACCTTAAAAGAAAAAGAGACGAGTATTTTCGCATACATTGTACAAATTCGAAAGCCAGTAAACTTACCGAGACCACTGTCTAAATCTAGCCATGGATCTAAAACTGTTAACTCTCCTTGTACGCTCAAGCCAAAGAAGGTGTAGCTCAAGTGAGTGCACAAAAATGGATTAATATTGGACGGTTCAAATTTACCATTACCGTTACGATAGTTCGCCCACGTTCCATAATAACAATAGATGACCTTTTCAGCTGAAAATCGATTCAGATATTTATTTATTGTTCAAGTTCTGAATTTTATATTTATTAAATTATAATTTTTTCACTTGTATTTGCTGCCTCTATAAAGTCACAAGCCGTTACCAGGAATATTAATCCTAATAATAATAATAATTTAAAATTGCAGTTCATTTTTAAAGTCATCCGTAGTAATGCTCGACTAAATCGCTCGACACTTAAGTGAAATGCTTTTAAAAAGAAATTATATATAACGTTTTATAAGCATTGTAAAATCCATTGTAATATCCGACAATATAAATACAATAAAAAATACTTATATCACGTCTCTGCACCAAAATAAAAAAATAAAAAAAAAAAAAACAAAACAATTTTACTATATACAAAATGTAAATATATTATAATACAATATATAATGTCAATAATTAGGTCAATAAAATGTTAAAATATAAAGAGTAAGGTAAACGTAAAAATTAATTGTAAGCAGAGATTGCTGCGGTGCTCGTTCATTCATTCACTTAGTTTACAGAATTTGAAGAAATATCTAATAAACAATGCTGGCTTATGTATCCACGTTTTCCTTTTTATATTTAGACTACCATTAGCCATTTGAAAAATGAATTAACTCATATAAGGGAAGAAATAATTGAAAAGTGCTGTTACGCTTAAGAAAAATTGAATTAAGTAAGTGAGCGAAAGCGTGCAGATCTTGAAAAGAATGTTGAGTAACACTTAACACTTAAGGAATTTTCCGTTATTTTGTGAAATATATGAACGGGCTCGAGGAGATCAAGTTTTCACGTTATGCTCTTATCTTGAAATTGCTGCATGAATGTTTCTTTCCTTGCATTTTTTAATACATTAAGCGAATTAATAAGAGGCTAACGAGAAAGCGACCAAATATGCGTAACTTGACTAATGTCCATAGGTTGATAAGCTTCACATATATAATAAGTAAGTAAATTATATTTGGTCGTGATCGAATCTTTCATATCATCAACGTTATTCTAAAAAAAAGAACATTTTTGTAGTCTGTAATATTGAGTGGGCGTGGCTGACTTTTTCTATTTTCACATTAAAAGTGGAAATTTTATGGTGTTTGGGTTGTCTTTTATGAGTAATAAGAAAAAAACAGGAAAAGCATAGGTGACCACACATTTTGTTGCATAGGCGTGTAGGTGTTGCAGGCGTGTCGTTCGACTAGTTTAAGTCATTATCGAATTCTTTTATAAATTTGTAGGCGTAGAAATCGCGAAGAAATCGCCTACAAATTTCGTAGGGCGAGAGGTACTGCATTTTCGCCCCTTAAAGTATACGTTGCATTTTTTATAGTTTTATTTGCTGTTATTAGCGAGCAAAGAACCAAAGGTGATCTCAATTTGCGTCATGATGTAGGCGTGTCTTTCGCTCGATTTGCTCTATTTCCAATATTAACACGCGTGCAAGAATTTCCAATCTTTCTGCCAGGTTTTGAAGCCAATAGCTTTATTTCATCAGATATAACATGGACGGACAGACTGAGAGACAAAGATGCTCAGAATTCATTACTGATCAAAAGAATGTCTCTCTCTCGCTGTCTCTCTCTCTCTCTCTCTCTCTCTCTCTCTCTCTTTCTCTATCTCTCTCTCTCTCTCTTTTTACCTTTGCGTATAATAATCTACTACCTCCTCCTCTCTTACGAAGACTAAAAGAGATTGTTTTAAGGAGAATTTGCTTCAATTTTTATACCTATTTTTTTTACGAATTTTATATCGATATCTGACTAAATGCGTTAAGCTAGTGGCTGTTTTCCTTTTTACCCTCACAATTATGACACTGTTTTTCTTTAAATATGTTCGGACCAACCGCTAACGTCAGAAGTACGCACAAGCGGGGTCAACTCAAGTCGAATGTCTCTTGCTTATCGTGAATACACTTCAATTATACCCATTTCCGAAGGATGAAAGGTTTGTTTATTTTGTCTAAATGTTTACAATGCCTGAAAAGAAGCTTCAGAGATCCAACAATGTGTATAATAGATTTAAGTATGTCCGATTATCTGTCTGCTTGAAACGTCTGTAGTAAACATTCTCTTGGCGGTATAAAATGCCGTCATCGAATTCAAATTTGGCAGAAGCTTGGTATTGAAATCGAGCCAGTTTCAACCATGTCCGCTTTGCAAGGACATGTCTACAGCACCCACACGCCTACTTAACGCAACTCCTTTATTTTGAAAATAGGAAAAATCGTTCGCGCTCGCTTCGTATTAGACGCTATGAAAATATAGTTCTTTTACTTTTTTTTTGCATTTTTAGGATAACGGTGAAAGGTATAAAAGATTCACGATCAAATATAATTTTCTTACTTTTTTAAAAACGATTTCATGGAAATGATGGACTCTGGACTTCTGCGAATTCAGCAAATTCAATCCTGCAACCCAAGTGCTTGCTATTTTTTCACAAAAGTTTGCTTTGATTTCAGTAATAAGAAGAACAATCTTTGTAAACAAGGTCATTGAGAGTTCACGGTTTATTGGAGTGAGGCAGTGCCGCAACATAACCTCAAAGTGAAAAATTCAATAGAGTTATTACGCTCGATTTGTGTAGCAAACTGTGGCATTTTGGAGATTCCACAACATTTTATTGAAGCCACTTATGGTCCAAATCGAAAGCATCTAATTTTTGCTCCAAAAAGTCGTTTATCATATCTTTCTAGCCTTCTCCATTGCCGATAACTGCAACGCCTAGAAACTACGTCCAAAAAATGGTTTCCCTACACAAAAAAACACGCTAAGAACATCAGACGCTTCTTCTTTACACCAAAGGGGCACAAATCCTTATTTATGAAATCATTTAATCCAATGATTGATTTTCATTCCATTTGCAAGAGACATAATCGTGGATTCACTGTTTCCATAATAAGTTTTCACAATTTCTGTATGCTGTACGGCGATGTATGTATTCTTTACAAATAAGGGCAGATTTCAAACAATATATTGAAAAAAAAGAAATGTGATCCAAATTTCATTCAGAAGTGTGTTCTAGGTACGTTTACTTGTGGAACCACAAAATGGATGACCATACACATTTTGATGGCGAAAAAATGGTGAAGGATCCTTTTCACGGAAACGTGGTGTAGTTTTTGGTCCTTCATCAAGCACGTTAAATGAAAATTTATATTAGACGAAACAGTGTAAGGTGTTCAGTGGTCGGCCTTGCTCAACTATCATGAAAAAAAAAGAATTGGATCTGTTGCCTGGCTTTTGACTTACAGCAAACGAGAAGAAGATTTTTTAACCGAGGGATTGAAATAATGAATTGAATCAAAATTCCAAAATTTGCATAAACAGAAAGAAATTTGTAAAAAATTACAATTTATTATTAAGAAAAAAAAAATAGTTGGAAAAAATACTTTATTGTAAAATTCACTTATACTAAAGGTATTTCAATCAAGGGAGTGCGGAAAGTTTATGTTCAGTTGCAATCAACCAAGTTCGGATAATTGCACGCTAAAATATTTATGTCGAATTTCAAGGGCGAAATGCATTCAAAATTGTACGCGGAGCCAGAATCACAAAAATAAAATTTCGAGCAATTTTTTAAATCGCGAACATAACCATTTTCGGTATCGCACCCGAAATTGTTAATAAATTTTGAATCAATTAAGGGCAGAGAGGCAGATTCATGTTTGACATCTTTCTCCAAGTCCAGTACCAAATCGCCATGAATTTTATTATTTATTAGACGAAGCAAAGGATAACGTCGCGAACTGCAAATGCCACGAAAGTCATCCGATTCTATGGACCAGACCATAATGCCGGCCAAATTTTCTGCGATAATATAATCGGCTTTCAAGGCGATACTCTCTTCATTCTCATAGCCAACCCATTGATTGTCACGATAAGCATAGGGCACCATTTGTTGCTCATCCCAATCCAAATGCCATTGATCCGATTCCTTCTGGAAAAGCTCGCACAATTCATTGTAACCAATTACACCAGGCTCTCTCGAATATGAGCCCGGTATCCCGCGACCAATATGAGGTGCTCCCACATTGTGTTGTAATGGATTTTCCAAATTAAAAGTACGTCCATAAAATGGGACACCAATAACCAATTTATTACGAGGTGTTCCTGTAGGAGGATAAGTCAATCTAAAGTTATTTGGGAAAACCGTTTGATTGAACGTTTACCTTTGCTAAGCCAATATTTGACAATCGCCTCTAAATTAAGCTGTCTGGTGTAATTGGTGTTATCCGCTGAACCGGCATGTAAAGGAGCGTTGATTCCCACCCCTTTATCCCAAGGACCATGCAAATCGTACGCCATTACATTAACGATATCTAAATATTTACACATCTCTGGGATATCATAAGACATTTCCGCCGAAAGTTGCACTGAACCCACAGCAGCTGTTAGCAAGTAACCAAATGGTTCTAGCCTTAACAATACAAAAAGCAAATCGTTTTCGTTGTTCATTAAAAAAAAAAAAAAAAAAAGATTCAAAATTTTACCCTTCTTTTAGGTCTTTCAGTAATGCGATATAGTTTTCACGGTCGTTGTTGCCTAATCTATGACGTTGGTTTGGATATTCCCAATCCAAGTCAAGACCATCAAAGCCATGCCTTTGTATAAATTCTACCACCGATTGTACAAATCTTGCTCGTTTCTCGGGATCAGCAGCTACAATAGAAAACTTTTTCGAGCCCTCATTCCATCCACCGACCGCCGCCAACGTTCTCAATGTTGGATTTTTCATCTTCAAAGAATTAAGTTTTCTGATATTGCCGCGACCATAATTATCCTCTAAATCCAGATATGGATCAATGATACGCAATTCACCGGTTTCTTGTATCCCGAAGAAAGCGTACATTAGATGTGTGCAGAGGAAGGGATCAATATCGGTGGCGACATCGAATTTACCATAAGACGGGCGGTATGCGGACCAAGTGCCATGATAACAAATCACATGCTCTGAAAAAAAGTGCAGTGTATAAAAACAGGAAGAGAAAACAAGTCTTTAAATTTAAGGGATTGAGGGTACAGTCATGTTGTCAAAGCGTTTGCAACATACAGAAGGAAGATTCAGATATCCTATAAAAAATATATATGTTCTTGAATAGCACCAGGTTTAAACTCATCTAAGCATGTACATCTGTCCGTCTGTCCGTCTGTCCGTCTTTGATAAACATTCTCCTGATCGCAAAAATAAAGCTATCGCCTTCAAATGTGGCCCAAACATTGGCAACTCTTGCACGCAGCTTGATATTGAAAATGGGATACATAGTTCAAAGCGCATACCCACAGTAGTGCCCAAGCTGAACTCAACCCCTTTTCTCTAAGCAGAAATTTTTGGGGTTTTGCTCATTACTCATCAATTATAAAAGATAGGTGGATAAAATTTCCCTCATTTACTTTGCGGAGAATTATTGATGTAAAAGAATAGAGCAAATCAGTCAAGCCCATAAAAAGTTACATCAAAATTTAATTTGTTGTTTACTTTTTTGAAGTTTTCTGCTTCCTACTCATAAGTTAAACACGATAAAATATTGAAAATTATTTTGTGCACTCCTTACATGCAGATATACTATCGGTTTAAAATCGCGAATTTAACCTTACTACGCGTAGGATTTGTTTTTTGTTAGTTACACTCCACATAGACACACAGACGGCTAGACATGGCGAAATGAATTTAGAATTTCACACTGATCAAGAATATATATGGACTTTATAGGGTCTCTGAAGCTTCCTCTTGGTGTTATATACATTATGGGCAAAAATAAAATGCGTGTACTTACAACTTACAGTGGAGGGTATAAAAAGAGAAAAAGTCAGCCGCCACCACGCAATATTAGAGAGCATATTTTGTAGCCTTCTTGCAAAAAAAAAAAAAAAAAAAACGGTGATGGGTTTAAAAAATTCGGTTGCGGCCGACTATAATTTTCTTACTTTTGATCTGAATTTAATTGATTTTAAATGTTTTTGATTTATCTTATATATGGATTGCATACTCTATCAAATGATTTCACTCCTCCTCCGTAAGGGCTACATTTCATTTATTGACATGCCATTTTCATTCAATTTCTGTACGTCCAAGTGTCTGCTTCAGGTTTATTCCGGTTATTCAAGTCGAAAAGTGAAAATTAAAAATCGTGCTAAAAGGACTTGATTATATTCGGAAATTTGAAAATTATCCCTTATTCGCAATCTCATTTGAAAGTTAGCTAAATAAGAAAATTATAATGGGTCATGATCGAAATCTGTTATACCTATTACCGTTTTTTTTTTTTTTTTTTTTTTTTTAAAGAAAACTCCATAATTTCCATACTTTCTAATATTGCGTGGGCGTGACTGATTTTTCGTCTTTTTATAGCATAAAAGTGGAAATTTATGTCACATGTCTGTTGTAGTTTATGAGCATCGTTAATAAAGTATCTTCCCTCCATGTCTACTCATCTACGCAGACCTTTTCCAAAATTTAATATACCACAAGTGATCTAAGGCACTGTCATTATGTCAAGAGTTTTTTAAAAGGAATCGCTTTCGAGTTATGTTCTGACTCTTTTTGTCTTTGATTTTGTGCTTTTTACTTTGCACAACACTTGTGGTACAAGGCATATTAAGTTTGAGAGGAAGAATGCAGCATCCAGAACGACTTGAGATAGACCCACCTTTTATTATACCGATCAAGTCTGGATCACTTTCTGAATTAATCTACGATTCTCCGTCCGTCCATCTGTCTATCTTGTTTTCCTAAAGGGCGGATTTTTGAGGCATTTCGATAAAATTTAACAAAATCACGAGTTTTGGTCTAAGGACGAACACTGCCTACATAACGCCTTATTTTCAAAAGTATATGAATAGCTGTAAGATGGTATTGGTCATCTAACGATGAGCCATGCTCCGCTATAGAGTTTTTAATTGCTTGTGTTGAAACGATAAATCACGAATGATTTTTTCTACAGGAAAAGAAAGCGTTTACTTTCAAATATTCCGAGCATACTTGCTCTTACTGTGCGTTGACAATTGCTTTGTACGCTCGCAAATATGATCATTTAAAGGCAAGGTGTAAAAGTCTAAAGTTTAGGATAAAAACAGAGTTTATTATCTAAAATTGAATCACATTATTACTTGGCATTAGAGTAAATTTAACGGATCTCTTACAAACAACAACAAACAAAACACTAAATATAATTCCAGCACTCCAGCTTACTTCTTTCCTTAGCTTCTGCTTTTAATCGATGATCGCACAAATATACTAACAACAGAGTTAAGCATTTTATTAACAGCATTTATTAAAAATTACACAGAAAAGTTATTTCCTCGCGATTATTATCGTTTATAAGAATTGAACTGAAAAAGTTTCGTTTAGAGTCATAGTATTTATAGGCTCGGCTTGCTCATAGATGTTAAGTGGAATATTCAGACAAAACATGATATCTTAACAAGTTGTTTATAGTTAACAGTTAAAATCGATAAAAGCATATCTTGAAAGAAGAAAGTTATCAGAAAGGTTTACCCTGTTAATGAGAGTACAATGATAGTGATCTTCTTTTATCAGTCAACGATGATAAGCAATATAAGCATACTGAGAAAGTGCAAATTTTTCTTTTCGTTTTACTGCCTTTGGGGCGAAACATAAATCTAAAATTATACTACGAGGTCAAATACCAGCGAATGCAATTTTTACAACAAAAGAGTTGCTACTTTCAATAATATATTCATTCGTTTTTTTTTATATAAAAATATTGTACATTTTTTGTTACTATTTATGATAATTATAATTTTTTAGTAAATAAAAAATTTTATTAGAATCTTTTTAATTTAGATAACTGATTATTGCGTCGTAAAGCCATTTTTCGTAAGCGCCTCCAATATTGCTTAGTATTTGGATCCATTTCTTCCAGTGGTATTATACGATCCACGTTAAGTGTCCATAGCCAATCCGGATATTCAGAATCGGGTTTCAGCTAAAAGAAAATTAAAAACCAATGATCGATGATGTAGTAATGATTACCAGCAAATGTAACATAATTACACAATCCCATCTCCCAATTACAAAATCTTTAATATTTGCATCGGAGCCTCTTGCAAAGTAGCCTCTAATCAAACCTTACAAATACTTCTCAAGTAAATGTATACAAAAAAAATAAATGAAAACACTATAGTAGGTCGCGACCCACCACCAGATACCCGACATCATTTCGTTTCGATCTGAAGCATTTTCAATAGCTTTCAACCTTCAGCCAAATCACGTCGGTGTATTAAATGTTATCAAAATATTTCCAAAATGGCCTATAAGTGGAACATAAAAATACAAGACAGGCAGACAGATAAGTAGACGGATACACAAGCTTAGATTGAATCAAAACCACTTTTAGGTCCACTTTCTGAATCAAGCGGTATCATAAAACTAGGGCCAATTTCGCGTCCTTCTGCATATAGCATACATCCTCACAAATTTATATACCGCGCAAGTAGTTTAGAGTATACTTATTTTTGATTTGCGATAAATGTAAGAAAAACAAACATAATTTAGTTCAAGCCGAGGTAAAATTTTATGAAAACCGTTACGAATAAAAAAATCCATTCAGATTTGATTTTATTTCATGAGCTTTGCTGTAATATTCAATATCGGTTTCATCATTTAACACTAGGAACCAGGAAACCTAGAAACCGCCAAAAAAAAATGTAATATATGTACATAAATGTGATGGAAATGTCATTACGTTAGAGAATCTTATAACTATCTCGGAATAAATTTTTGTATAATAACTAAGATGAGCAAAACTTCTTAGAAACTGCGATTTTGTTAGCCACGATGAGAGTCAAGGGCACGTTTTTCTTAAATCCCGCTCTATTTTGTTCAGAGATAAAGAAACTGCGCAAAGAAGTAGAAACTGATGCAAACTACAAGAACGATCAAAAAATAACAAACAGGACGCTTACAAGAACTTTCTACGTTTTTACCAATAGCTGGGGAAAAGTTAACTGCAGACATTACCCAAACAGACAGATGGACACGCTCAAAGTGATTTAGAATTTGGTGTTGATCAAGAACATATATATTTTAAGAGAACTCTGAAGCTTGCTTCTGGATGGGGATGAGGAATGTAGCTCTCATCCTAGTCCTACCCTCATCAAATAGGGCAGAACCAGGCTTTCCGCATTGCACAGTACACTTGGAAGCAAAACTTTCTTATACAAATTAACCGGCTGACGCCCTTGGCCACATACCATGAATAAAGAGAAAAAAAATTTGATATTAAATCATTCTTTCAATGGGAGACATACATACAAATCTTATAAATTTATGCACTACTTACAACATTCACGTGCTTGTTGATATAATAGAAATAAAAAAGAAAATAGAGCAAAAAAAAGGAAAAATCATCTCTGAAGAGGTTAAAAAACGAAATCGCTATCTTTAGAAAATTGCAAATATATTGCAAATATTTAACCAAGCAATGTGATGAAAGGGAATTAGTCCGTAATATCACTAAAAGTTATTGTAGAGTGAGAAAATTGAGATAGGCTCCTTCAAATAGTACCCTCGTTCCAAAGGCACACGTCTTTGGTTTTTTTTTTATTTTATTAAATAGTCAGGGTTTGGTTCTGTTTCGTTTGATGATTTTGCACAAAAAGATATTAATATGTAAACTACGTTTTCGGACAAAAGAAGATGTCACATTTTTACTTACTTTTATATCTTGTCCAGTTTTATTTATGTTACTGCCGCAAACATAATTTACCAATTTGTTCACATCGGTTTCAACCGGTATTTCTTTTTTTTCCATTATGGGACCAAGCTTCCCCATTTTCTTTTTTTTCGCAGCGGCGCTAGTAGCTGTTGCTGCTCCTACAGCCAACGATGTGAAGAATATATTTTATGAATAAATTCACAATATGTTGGAATAGACATTATTTACCGGCACCTCCTTTAGAATTGCAGCGAACTATTAAGCCGCTATTTATAAAAGCTTTTTGTCTTATAAAGCAAACTGATTTATTTAAAACATTAATTAAACTCATTTTTCAAGCCTTCTTTTAATTGTAAGCTTTTAGGAAAGGACAGAAACGCCTTCAACCACACACAAGTCTGCTAGAAAATATGAAACGATTGATGTCCATAAATCAGCTGTGCCTGCTGTGAGGTAAACCAAAATCAGCTGTTTGATTTGTACTTTCTTATTAAAGTAAACTTTTTTCAATTTTCAAAAATAAACAAACCTAAGTGAAGCTTAATATGATTTCAAATAAAACTCTAGCAAAAATAGCTGTGTATGTGAGCGTAGCTGGCATTTCAAGTGTTATGTACATGCGTTGGAAAATTCAAGAAAGAATACGCAATACTGACTATTTTCGGTTAGCTTTCAGTGCTTTGAGAGGACATAGAGGTTAGTTAAAATCTAACTGAGTGTAATTTGTAAAATCAAAACGTTTCAATTACATATTTTTCAAGGAGCCGTCAATCTATTGGGTGAACCGATTAAAGATATGGGTTTCGATATAAGTGATCCGAAACGTAATCAATGCGATGGTCAGACGGCACAATTTGAAGTAGCAGTGAAAGGCTCCAAAAACAGAGGTTATTTATCTTACAACAATGGATCGTCAAGGCTATTTAGGAACTTTTAATTTAATTGCAGGCACAATGTATTTCTGGGCGACACGAACCAACGAAACTGGCTGGCTGTTAAATCGTTTAGAATTGGAAATTAAAGCAGAACCAGATAAGCGGTTTATACTTAAAAAACCAATAAGCGAAAGCTCTTCACCTACTGCCTCACTACAAGAATAGCAATATACTTCTGTTGATAAAATATGTATGTTTGTCACTAAGCTAAGAAATTGTTCCTACAAAATCGAAAATTATGAAATTTTGAGAAAAGAATTGAAAGGTATGTGAAAGTCGAACATATTGGGGATGGGTACAGTAAATTTCGCACTCCATGCTTGTAGAAAGGAAAACTGCTTCTAAGCATTCACAAACGTCCAAAAGGCCAATTAGCGGATCCCTTAATCTCGTTCAGCCTTATGCCGAGTGTAGCTCGAAATCATATTTCTTATGCCATACTTGTGGTATAGATAGTTTGCGCAGCTGTATACAACATCCAGAAGGGCCTGAAATAGACCCATCTTTTATTAAAACGATCGATTTACGCCACTTCGTCTAGTAAACTTATTCACTGTTTTTGTTTATAATGCACCAGTAACTAGATATTATTTTCATGCTTTTCGTAAAAGCCCGCTTTTTAGAAGTTTTTCAAAACATCACAGGCGTGATCCATCATGGAGCGAGGTGTAAGAAATAGACCGATGTGATTCAAATTTGGTCCGCTTCATCTTTATGTTAAATTACAACCGTAAACAGATTTTCATCATAAAACATTAACAAATGCTCTTCGCATATAAAGGTTTACATTTGCTGAGAGACCTTATATGCGGTGGTATCCAAAAAATAGACCTACGTGGTCCAAATTCACTTTCCTTAGGAATGTTTATATGAGAGGATGTTCAACAAATTTCCGCAATCGAATACTATTTTTCGTACCAATACATGCGAAAATACTGCAAGATTTCTTTTGAAATTTTAAAAATGCTCGATTCAGAATTATTTCTGAATCATTTTTTAAATCGATTGAAGTCTGTCTGATGTCTGGCCACGAAAATTTGTGTTCAAACTATAGACCAAAATTTTATATTGATGAAATTTGTTGCAATGACGCATTTTGACCCAAGGACAAAGAATCATTTCTGAATCGATCGGTATAATTAAAAGTTGGATCTTTCTTAATCCCTCCTGGGTGTTACGTACGTCCGCACAAACATATTATACCCTGTAAAAGCTTATTAATATTTAAAAACCCATATGCTGTTTTCTATAATTTTTAATAATTTCAAATGTTTTAATCTTTAATTGATTTTTATCTTTTTCATTAGAATTGTTATATTATTATTTTCATTATGTTTGCATAGAATTTTTAATTTGTATATAATTAGTTAAAGTCTTTTTTTCAGATTATAAGAAGAATCTGGAAAAAAATGAAGATGAGAAAAATAGGTGTTTTTTGTGTTTAAAGACTTTTTCTTACATTGTAACGTGATATTCTCTTTTTAACAAATTTCAAGAAATAATAAAAGCTCGCGTATACGTATACGTAAATATATCTAAAAAAAAGGAAAACATAGAAGACATATATAAAATATAATTCCATACAAAACAAATATATAGAGCGTACTATAAATTAAATATCATCGCTTAAGGTTTATGATTTTTAGAAGAAATTTTTCTTAGCATATGCATGCACATAAACAATTGTTTAAAGACTTTTTTTTAATTTTGCTTGATATATATTGCCTTCATGCTTTGCTTAAACACATATTAAGTTGATAAAAAAAAATGTCGGTCTTTAAACTTCGAATTCCTTTTCGTCTTAAGTGTAAAGGTGTGTATACATGACCGATTCTTTAAAAATCTACATGTAAAGGAGAAAAAGAGGTGCTTTAAAAAGAAATTAAAAAACTGATTGTTTTGATGTTTGTTTGGGGGGGTTTCTAAAATGCCAAATGACAACATTATCATCACCATTTAATATTCCTTAGAGGATTTCACTTAATTTTTAACATAAATCGTTGTTTTTCTCTCTTTTTTTTTTCTTTTTCGATTTCTAAAATTAATGTTTATATTATTACATTTCAAAAAATTTTGCTAAAAGTTTTCACCTTAACAATTTCATGCTTAATGTTTCCTTTTGGTTTTCCTATTAAATTTTTTCCTTTATACAAGCCTTAAACTAGTCGGCCTTTTTAATAATGATGATGTTATTGTTGTTGTTGCTTCTACAGACATTTTAGTGGTTATCGGTGTATTTGTTGGTGTAGATGTTGTCGTATATATTGGCTGCGGCTGCACCGCCATTTCTAATCCTTATTGCGTTTTCAGTTCTTTACCGATACTATATGAAACAATTTTTGTCCAATCGATTTTAGTCCGGGTAATAGGCAACTGGCGTCGCATTGCCTTAAATGTTGTGTCGGACATGGTTTGATAGTTTTCGGATATAGCCAGTTGATATTCATTTTCAGATTCTTCAATTAAACGTACAACTTCCTTTGCCATTTGCTGTTCGCTCGTTAATACTACAGATTCGCGACACTCTTTCGAGGAAACCAATTGAACATTTCCATCTTCATAATAGTGCACCTAATTAGTAAACGAATCGACCAATAATCGCTTTGTAACTTTTTAAAAAAACATCTTCCTTACTTGCACTTTTAAAACGCCTTTTAGTTCAGCGCTACTAGTGCCCGCCTGAAAAGAAACATGCCATTGCGAACGCCACCTGCCATTCCAGTAGTTTTTCGGTTGAAATTGATGATCTTCAATACAAACAGTTAGAACAATTTGACCGTTCTGTGATTTTCCGAAAACAGAACAGACCTATACAAAATAACAATTCTTGTACAATGACAGTTTTTCATTTGCTTTAAATTTATTTTACGTACGCCATGACGATAATGACTGGTTGTGTATGCTAATGCCTCAATATCCAAAGCTTGTCTCCATGACTCTGCAATCGCATCGGGTTCCACATCTTGATAATCGCTTGCCTCTTTGCGTAAGTGATCATATTTAAAGGATTGCTTAGTGCGAGGATCATAGAAGCGTCCACCACCTTTAATAAACGATAAGAAAGAAAAAACCAACAAAATTAATTTCTCAGTTAAGTAAAAAATATTTAGGGCAAATGTATACAAACAGATATGTTTATATACTCGATTAAATAACCAAAACACTTTCCATCCCCTTTGTGTTTGTTTGTTTTTGCACTTCTTATATACACGAAATACTGGCGAACTGTTTATTTTTTTCCTGCGTCATTTTTTAAAAGAAAGCAACAGAATTAAATTATTTAGTACTTACCTAAATCATTATATTCAGAAATCACAGCATTATGTTCAGTGCCCTCAATGCGAACTGGTGTTAATTGATCTTTATTGTATTGTGCGAAGGCGTGATTAGCACCTTCTTTTAATAAGGCATCGTTTTTTAATAATTCCCGGACATCATTAAATACCTCATTGAATTCACCGGGTGGAGCGTGCAGTATAAAATCGGACACAATACGCACTTTCTCGGCATCGCTAATTTGTGTCTGTTCCATGTTTTCTTGCCTTTTTTTATGTTTGATTTTCTATGTTTTAGATATATATATATAAAGTATATATATATGTTTATGGATGTATATGGTCAGGCAGTGAAATACAACTTGAATTTGTTTTAAACGTTTACTAGAGGAGAGTCTTTATAAAAAAAACGTGTAACTTGTGACTTATCAAATCTTAAACTGCACTACGAAAATTGCAGAAATAATAAAATATTTTTATACATTTATTAATATTTTCCTATCTTTCTTTCTTTTTTGCAAATAGTTGGATGACAAATCTTTTGCAAAGCAAATGTTGCCAACTTCAGTAAAAGAATATTGTTTCTAGAGATAACATTACTGTGAAAGTTAACATTATGAAAAATGGTCTTCGGCGATATATATATCCATCCATAATTTCTTCCACAGAAATCATTCTAATAAAATTTGTGCGTTATTTTAAATTTAATAGCATTTTATTGCTAAATTCCGAATTTAGAGTCAAAATTGCAGTATCCAAGTATAAAATGCAGATTTTGCTTTGAAACTTGACTTTTGAAAAAATGTTAATTTAATATTGAAACTAAACATTGTCATTGTAACTGAGAGTTTATAACGAAAAATCACGTAACTTTTACTGAGTACCGGAAAATGGTTTTGGGGGAAGCCCACTGAAATGAAACCTTTATTTTTCTCTATACTGAAACAGAAACAATAAATAGGGTGAAGATGTAAACACTATTCTCTGGGCGCAATAAAATATCCCCCTCAAAACTGTTAACACCTTTTTATTGAATGTTACAAAAAGGCGTAGTCGGTTTATGATCGTTACGGAATACAATATCCATCAATTTGTATCTTTTTTGATTTATTGTTTGGTTAGATTTATCTAAGTTTTGAGCAGCATTTTTTTTTAGTGACAGCGTTTTATAAAAACGGTTCTTAGCAAACCGACCGAGTGTCTAATCAGCCCAAAGTTACGAAGTAGCAGCTTTTTTCATTACATAATATATATGTATATATAATGTACAGAATACATGATATTTTCGGCAATCACAATAACAAAGACAGGCAGTGATTGCATAGAAGATTACATAGAATATTAAAGGCATGGAAAACCCAAAAGCTCGTAGTTTATAAGGATATATATCTTAGTAATTTTAGTTATCTTAGTAATATATAAACTGGGATTATTTGGGAAAAATTAAAATCTCATATTAATCTATTGTTAATTATTTTGAAAAATTTTCTGTTAATTCTTTCCATAAATTCATACAAGTGCTTGAAATATAATACATAATCTTGTATATAAATGTATAAAAAATATGCATTCATTTCCCCTTGTACGTCTCCTGAATAGTTTTATACAATTTTTATATATATTCATACAAGTGCTTGATTCATCTCCCCTTGTACGTCTCCTGAATGGTTTCATACAATTTTTATAGGCGTGCCATTCGATTTTACCCTATTTTTGAACATTTTGAGTCAATTCTTTCCATATATTCATACAAGTGCTTGAAATATAATATATAATCTTGTATATATAAATGTATAAAAAATATGTATTCATCTCCCCTTGTACGTCTCCTGAATAGTTTTATACAATTTTTATAGGCGTGCCATTCGATTTTACCCTATTTTTGAACATTTTGAGTCAATTCTTTCCATATATTCATATTATCGAACGCATTAGCAATGTTTGGCAACCCTAAATTGTATGAGCAAGAGGAAGAATTGTCATATGATATTCCTCATATTTCATTATGCTTATTATTTTATTATTATTTTGATTGGCTTTAAAGGTAACCAAAGTGACAATCAACGAATCTCCCAGCACCAGTAAATTGTCAGCTGGCCCAATGGTGTGTCGTAAAAGGTATGCGCTTTCCTTAAATCCGAAATTTAACTATAGGCCAGTAAATGAGCAGATAGCCCAGGGTATGATATTCCTCATATTTCATTATGCTTATTTTTTTATTATTATTTTAATTGGCTTTAAAGGTAACCGAAGAGACAATATTAGTGGGTGCTCTAAGAACTTGGAGCTCAGCGAAACTAAAGTTGCATTAGGACTAGGAGAACGGCCGGAGTTGCGAGTCAATAAAAATGCAGTTGGCCTGAATGAAATTTTTATTGAAAACAAATCGGAAGAAGTGCAAAGTAAAGCGAATCGAGATGAAAGTTCGCTTGTTTCTGCGAGTTTTCAAACAGCAAATGGTAAAAAAATCTCCATATCGGAAGAGAGCAAAAGATCCGTACAAAATATTCTAAGAGAATTTCAAGGCAATTTGCAAGAAACGTATTATGAAACTGAACTAAAAGACATAAAAGCTCAAATGTCGATTAAAAGTATGCATTCCAAGTTTGGAAAAAATACCAACAAAACAGGCTTTCAAGCGATGTGCGAAAAAGGCAAAGAAGAAAAAATCAACGAATCTCCCAGCACCAGCAAATTGTCGTCTGGCCCAATGGTGTGTCGTAAAAGGTATGCGCTTTCCTTACATCCGAAATTTAACTATAGGCCACCCCCTCAACTTTGTGAGACATCGGAAAGAACCTCGCGTCAAATCGAGACTACGACTAGTACACCAGGCGTCAATAGACCAAAGAGGGGGCGGCTCTCGGACTTAAGTCATACTTATACTAGTTCAAGAAGAAAGAAATAAATACGACTTTATATTACATTGTGTAAAAGCAACGGAACTGGTTTTTTTTAATTCAAAACCGTCTCGATATCTTTTTACTTATCCTTGTTTTCTTGTATCTTTTTGCTCTTCCAATACTTATACTGTTTATAGCTTTCTTAGTGTTTTTTTATATTCATTCCACATAAGAATGCAGTTTTTTAATAAATAAAGACAAAAACAAAATATATTCATGGAATATTATTCGATTTTCAAATTTTTGTAGATTTATCTGCTGTAATTTATGAGTAATGAACAAGGAACGCAATTGCTTGCCGATACAAAAAAGTTGGCCTATTTCCTTTATGTATTTTTGAGGGCTATTTGAGAGAAAAAATTTCCTATTGTAGTTGAAGCCCGACCTTGTGAGGTGTTACAAAAATTTCTTTCTTGAGTATTTTCTTGAATATAAGAATTTCGTAGAATTCTCGCGAGCCATGTAATTGTTAAAATATCTGTTATATATATATCATTATGATAATGCGATTTCAATCAAATATTGCTGTGAAATATGTAATAAATCGTTTGCATCTAAATCGTATTACGAGCAACACAAACAACATCATCAAAAATTGGTAAAGAATATATCTCTCTCGCCGTCACATATATTTTATCAAAAACGTTCTACAAAAGTGCAGCGAATTAGAGAATAGTCTCCATTTTAAAAATATATCTATTGCACAAGATATATGAAGAGTATGTCAATTGCATTATTCAAAAGTGTTACTAAAAAGACATAATTTCATTGTCGTTTTACTATGTACATAGAAATCTATTTAATTTTTAGGGGATATAACGAAAAAAAAGCATAACTGTTTTTATCAACCCAGCCAGTAGAGTTTAATTAGAATTTACTGCCTGAGATAATGTTACGGCATTTAAACTCATATAAATATAGAAAGGCCATTGAACAAACACGTCTACACAAATATTGATTTCAGAAAAGTTCTCCAAGTATTTTTTTAACTCATATTATCTCATAAAAGAATACACAATATACATTTATACACAATAAACATTTCTTAAGAAATGAAAATGCCAACCCCGAAAAACACCAACAAATTTTTGTACAAAATCAAGGACATGGTTCTGCGATATTACTTACTTAATGGGATAATATGGGTTAAAAATTTTATTAAAGAAAGCAAAGATGATTGTTAATTGCATCCTCTCTTACAGATGTTTTGTCCCATTTTTTTAATATTTCCCTTGAAATATATAAAATATGCCGCAAATAGCAATCGACAGCTTGGCATAGGCAAGTAGTTAGAAAGAGAGGGTATAAAGGCGGCATAAGAAAGTTTATTTTCATATGCGGTAAATCGGTGGTGTGGTCGTAGCTCCAGCGCATGTTTAGTCGGTAAAAGCACATGAAGCCATGCCAGACTTGTGTTGGCTATTAAGCACTTTGGTCGATAAAAATACGAACATCTTAATACCGGGCATTGAAAGAGATGTAAGTTTCTAGTGTAAACGTCCTTACTACTATGAAAGTAACGACTGAGTTAAAGGATCAAATTGCTTTAAAGGATTTTAACTTTTGCAGATCGCCCCTTTGTTACACAATGAAAATGACATGTATAAAAAAATTGATTACGAAGTTGAAGATTACAAGTGAGTTAGTGTAAAAAATTGAAAAATTATTTAATAGTTTTATGCTTTTGCCTTACGTAATACATGCAGGAAGGATTTAGGTGTCGAAAAGTTACCGCACAATGAAGACAAAACCAAATTGTTAATGCACAAGTGGCGTTATCCCAGTTTATCTATTCACGGCATTGAAGGAGCCTTCTACGAGCCGGGTGCAAAAACAGTAATACCTGCCAAAGTTATCGGAAATTTTTCTATGCGCTTAGTGCCAAATCAGGACCCCGACCATGTAACTGAATGTGTTATAAAATACTTGAACAAAAAATAGGCTGAGTGCGGTTCGCCCAATAAAATGACGGTAAATATAGCTGGTTTCCAGATATTGGAAAGAGAACCAATTTTTTCTATCCACCATTGTAAGATTTGGGTATACCCATCTTGTTTTTTGCAATAATATATGTAACACCCAAAAGGAAGCTTCAAAGAATCTATAAAGCATATATATTCTTGATCAGCGTGAAATTGTGAGTTGATTTAGCCATGTCTATTCGTCTATGTGCTATGTATTGCTGGCACTCTCCTAGTCGCAAAAATGAAGAAATCGACTTCAAATTTGGTAGAAACATTGGAAATTTTTTCACGCAGATTGATATTGAAAATGGTCCAACGTTGTTCAGAAGAGAACAACGCAGTGGAGTGTAAACTGAACGCAAGTCCACTTTTCTTAACGAAAATTTATGAGTTTTTGCTCGTTACTTAGAAAAGTGAAATTTTTCACATCTGTATTATGAAGCACTCTACTCTCTACGTGTGAAAAGGGGACAAATCGGCCATGCACCCACATAAGTATACAAATAATTAAATTTTATTTTTTTTTCATTTTTTTGAAATTTTGTGCTTATTTATCATAACGCAAAGAAGATAGAATGATTAAAACTATTTTGAAGATATATTATCTGCCTAAAAATATGTTAATTTGAAATGAATATGATAGACACCACGATACAGCTATCAAATGAAAGAACTTGAAGAGTAGGATGCAAAAAACGAAGTGGTGGTGGGTATGCGAGATTCGACCACCGCGGAATATAACTTTCTTGTTTGTTTATTTTTCAAATACTTAGGTGAATTTAGTTAGTGCTGGAAAACCTTGGACTGAGAATCCAAATCATCCGCATTATGAAGCCGCTAAAAAGGCTATAAAGCACGTTTTTAAAGTGGAACCGGATATGACTCGGGAAGATGGTTCTATACCCGTCACATTGACTTTACAAGAAGCTACCGGCAAAAATGTTATTTAGTAGCTAAACCGCGTATTTTCCGTATTTTTATACATTGTTCAAAAATTATTTTTATAATAAAAATCTTAACTTTTTGCAATTAAATTTAGATAAGCTCTATGTGCCGCGCACAGTATCCTTATCTTTCAATAAGTTTAATTCATTCCAAAGGATCACCGTATTTATTAGTGCGGACCCTTTTAACGGGATCTTCATGAGGCGTGGCCTTAGTTTCACGTATGACTAGAGGTGCATTGGGCGGCAAAGGGGATGAAAGAGGATTTTGTTGTTTTTTCTCGTACTCCTCACGATTACGTTGACGTAGTTCTTCATAAGTCATACCTGGTTTGACGGGTTCTAGCGGTATATCTGGATCATTTTGAGCTGTACCTATATATTCAACATTTTTGCTAGTGCTTGGTTCTACGCTTGCTTGTCATTCTACTTACTGTCTAGGGTAGGTCGGTAAGTGTCATCCAGACCGGCATATGTGGGACGGTTTTCCATATCCAAATTCAGAGCATTCCCTTTACTAACGGGTTGCAGGTGTTCGTCTGAATAGATATCCCCTGCGTTTGAGGCGAAAGGACTTAAAAAGACAGTGACGTGAATTGACGTCTGCTTGTAACGAATAAAGCTACCGATTGTTAACAAATGTAATAGTTATGACCTATTTATAATGGTTGCGACTTGTTCGTACCGAATTAAGCTACCACTTCATGGCAAATAAGTTAAAAAAGGTTGATTAACTAAAAACGTTTCTTAGGACTTGGTATAAAAAGCGATTTATTTACTTATTCCACTATTTTTCATGAGGAAAAAATTGGCATTTTTATTTTATTGACTACCTATAGTAACGCAAATTTGAAAACGAGTTAGAAAATCATACTAGGAATTGTAAAGCGATGCTACCTCCGTATAACGACAATTTTTATATCTAAAATAGGTATTTTTTAACATAAAATCGGCGAAAAACTGAACAGTATTTGAATATAGTAATATATTTTCAAGGTGCTATAGATGACACACTTCGTAGAAAAGATTACACATTTTATAACGACAAAGCGCCCAAAAGAGCCAACTGAAAATGGGGTTACTTCCTAGGTAACAATATCAATTATAGACAATGCAAGCAAACACTTTATATATCGTTATAACACAACGTTTTTCTATCGTTTTACACAATTTTTTTTCAAATAGATCCTTATTAAATAATGGAATTTTTGACAAATAATAAATAAAAGTTTGCCTATCGACCGCAGTGTGTACATTCGGTGGATATTGTAATCTTACTGACATTGTTATAAAAGGATTAAAAGTGAGTCCATCTTACTAATCGTAATGAATCAGTTAAGATTTATCATGCTATATAAATTTATTAAATAAATACAATAGTACTGCCAGATTTATTAAGATTATTTTCAATGCTGATTACTAATCGAGGAAATTTTAGACACAAACCAAGTAGAATGGAAGTGATCGAATGGAATTGGTATTAGTTATATTTTAAACAGATAATGTATTATAAACACATTAATTAGACACTAAGCTTAAATTAAGTTTTCTTTATAAAATTTATTATTTTTTTTGTATTTTTAAAAAAAAGAAATGGCTTTGCAGCCGGAAGTTTATGCAGTTCAAGACTAAAATCCAATAGAAGGGACCATCTTCACAATAAATCGACTCAATCGAAAGTATTAACTTGTTATAACGACCACGTTGTCAAAGCAGCTCTTTCGCATGCATCAAAATGGATATAATTGGTATAACTTATCGAATAATTAAAAAAAAAAAATTGTTAAACGACCAAGGACCAACAGGACCTTCACAAGCATATAATTACAAGGCTTCTTGAAATGAGCTTTCACTTCGATTGATATTCCTACATTTTTTCATATGTTTCTGTAAATGAGCAAGTAAGACAGGTGTGCGTATAAGTATCATCCTCTTCGTTGTAAGTGTCTTCTCCGTATTGATGAACATGAGTTGCTTTAGTCTCTTTTGTATACAAACTACTACGCACTTCCATACGCAACCGTTTCATTTGTTTATTGTACTTCCGTATCTTAGATACTTCTCGCTTTTCCAAGCGGTTCTCATGTTGTTGCATTAGTTCTTTTTCGTCGCCCCATACTTCCATAGCCCGTTGTTCCACTTGTAAATGTAAATAAAGTTTCATTTCACCCCATTGCACATTGCGAGGATTTTTACGGCTTATATAGAGTAAGGGAGGATCACGTTTATCAAAGTCGCAATCTTTTAGCAAATACTCGGCTTTAGCCTCAGTGCGTGTAATCAACGCATGTTCGTCTTCTGGATCGTAGCATTTATCGCAAACATTGTACTTAAAGTTGTTTATTAAAAATGAATCGACAAAGGAATCGCCGCATTTTAGGCATTCTTCATAAGTAACCTTTAAAATTATAAATGTAAAATGAACTATAAATATTAAATTAAAATTTATAGTAACCGGTATAGAAATAGCGTTATCAATAACTTTAACGTTCGCATCCGGCAAGCTCGGATTACAACTTGTGGAGGCTACAGATTGTTCAATAAGAAAACCGCCGCCACTGTCTACATATTTGACACCTTGAACTTTGATAATGGAAGATGGTACATCGCCGGCATTTGTATCTCTAATTTGATAAAATTTGATTGAGTATTTTCACTATATATTGCCTTGAAAGACTTACTTTTTTGTTAAACTATGAGGATGACTAACGAGTTTCGCTTGTCTTAAACTTAGGGCTTTAGCTTTGTTTCGTTCAATACGCGCTTTTTGAGCTTCTGTCAATGCAGTTGCAGCATCCGCCATTTCTTTCTTTTGTTGGCTACGGGCTATATGTTTTTAAGTAAAAAAACCGGTGAAATTATTAGTTTTCGAAAGAAAAATAAATTATTTAAATAATTTTTGCGCATACTTTGACATTTAATGAAACAATGAAAAAATCATTACGCCAAGAATCCCATCTACAGAAGCGTACAAACTTTTTATACAACAAAAAATCCCCTTGCTTTAAGAAACTTTAATTGCACCGCAGAACGCTGAACAATTTGTTTGAAAACTTTGAAGCCAATCGCAACTCACATCTGTTGTTTTTATTGCATTATATATTTTGTTTCTTTTATAGGTATTATTATTAACGCAATTTAATTTTTATTAAAAATAAAATACAAAATGAAGGAATCCTTCAATGGTTTTTACCAAATTATTCACTGAGAGGAGACTTCTCTGAACATTGGCGGTACTGTGATATTGTCAAAATTTGCTTGTTCTCAGAGAGGGACTGGGCAGCATTACGGTATTTCAGTGCAGCCAAGCTATATATAAGGGCAACATTTTAAGTTATTAACGTACTGCAGGCTTAGCAGGCTTAAGTATTTTCGTACCAGCTTTTACATCTTTCAAAATGTGGTCCTCTTGGTGTTCTCCATCAAAATCCTTTTGACAATTCATGCAACAGCATCTTTTACGCGTTTATTGCATTTGATGTTGTAATGTTTTTTTACATTAGCTTTTTAGCGAATTCAATGCAATGATTACAAATAAGAACCAGCGTTTTTTTTGATTTTATTTGGCTTGGTAAATTTTTAAAGACGTTTAAAGAATTTTAAAGAACTTAAATAGACAAACTTAATTGGAAAACATTTATAAATTAGTAACCACAATAATTAACATGTGGCAGAACAACGACAAATATACCGTTCCTTACTTATTCTAAACAAACTAAACCTAAGTAGAGAAAAATAACTTAATAATAAATCTGACCACTTCGTATTTGTGGATTTTATGTATATACAATTACAAGAATTAGCATTTGTAATGCAAAACAAGCACGTTTCATTGTATAAAACCGCCGCTCAACCAAATTGTTCAGCTTCCTACTCATATATTGTGAACCCACTATTTTTATTGTTTTTCGTAATTTTAATTCAAGAAAATTTTTCCAAAAGACCAAGTGGTTTTTGCAAAATGAAAGCATGCGTGACACTTCTTCTTCGCTAAGACAAATCACTCATAGCAAATTGGTTACGAATACGTTTAGTATAAAAAGAGATTTGCAACTTCTGTAACGGATTTATAAGATATATATATGAGATTTACTTTTATATTGGCTTTGTTGTTGGTATTTTTCATAAATTTGTTATTGCGCTTACGTTATTTCTTCATTTGTAGTTCTCAAATCATATTATATGTTTTTGTTTACATTCTTCTGTAAAACATGGTGGCCCGGCCGTCGATTTGTTTACTCGGAAACAAAAATTGCGCCTCATTATGCTAGCCCGTTAGCCTTCATATCTAACTTTGTTTACACAACACTGCGAATTTGTGATTGTTGATTTGATGATTTGTCGAAGAAGAAAAAGAAATTAATGTGAAAATTAAATTAATTGTTTAATTTATAAAGAGAAATTAAAATAATTGCAATGAGTGCAAATGACTTGGGTGTATTTCAAGGAGGAGCTGCTATACAGGTGAATACGATTTTCGACCATTTAAAAGAAGGGGAGAAGAAGCTTCGAAAGATCACATGAGCAATTGTAGACTTTTCAGGGGAATGTCAAAATACTATTGCGATTTTTTTCTTCGATGAATGTGATCTAGCAGTGCATCAGGATTGTATGGTGTGCCATATATATTCTGGCACGACGATCTAGAAGACGGTGGAAGCAATCGACCACAAATTTTCAGAGCGATTTAATGGATCAACTTGTCCTTGGATATTGTGAAGCAGAAACTCGTCGTTTAAAAGTAACGCTAGAATTGCATAGTTGAACATTGCCAGAAGCTATTAAACGTTGCATCCAAGAAAATTGACGAATTGAAAAAACGTTTAGCTATTGACAGGAATAGATCGACCTGAGTTGCTAGCGGAACGTAAAGAAAAATGTTCAAATCTTGAGAATACCATTAACAAAATGCCTATTGAATGTAAAACTTTAGAGGTGGAAATAATTCTCTGTTGGAAAAATAGGAAGCTTCATAGATTTGCTCACTATCAGACTTTGCAAAGTAGTCATGAAATTATAATTTATCACGAAACTTAGTGTCTTGAGTAGAGCTTTGGATGCAGCTCAAAAGAAATGTGAAGATCTCTTGGTTAAACTCGACCATTATCACGCAATTTATTTATTTTATTTTGTTTTCCCCATTTATACATGAAATTCTATTAAACAAACCTACGGTCGAAATTCGTGCATCTTAATAGAAAACCTTATACTAATTGTTTTAAAACTAGTATAAAATAAAAAGGAAGAAAAAAAAAGAATATTAATAACAAAGTAAGCTTAAAAATAAATTAAAAAGTTAAAAATAGTAATTCTTGTATAAATAAATAAAAGGAGGGGAAAAAAAAGAGAAAAAGCACAGCTTGCACGGAGTGCTTCCGCAACAGAACAGATCCAGGTTACAAGTGAACCCCTAAACCATTGCAAACATGCATAAGCTTGGCTAACCAACACGTTAACAACAGAATATTATTTTAAATAAAAAATGAGATATGAAATGAAAGAGTGAAATGTTAGTTTAAGTACGGCATAGGTAAATCGCGCGTATTGATCAAAGTTGCTTTAATGAACTTTAAAGAGTCCGATAATGAGAATAAGTGGTAGACATCATTTAGGTTTTTGCAAACAACTCTGAGCTGAGCTTAAACAGCTCATAATTGTATTTACATTGACTAAGCTTAGTCAAGATAAAGGGTCTAAAGAAGCGGTTAGGGACATTAAAGCTTATCTCACCAAGTAATGCGTGCGAGTCAATACTACCATTTACTACTTTGATTAAGAAGGAAAAATCTACGTTTTCACGTGACGGTAAGGATAAAAGAAGCAACCTATTTTCATAAGGTGGAAGAGAGGCAATCGGGTCCCAACCAAAATTCCTAAGGGCAAAGAACAAGAATTGCTTTTGAACAGATTCAATTGAATCTACATAGCACCTATATAAAGAAGACCGCACAACATAGGCATACTCAAGTATAGGTCTAACCAAACACACGTACAGCCTTGTCGTAATATAATAACCATCAAGTTCTTTAGACCAGCTCTTTATAAAACCAAGCGCGGAACTAGCTTTGCTTGACGAGAGCTCAAACGTAAAACGTTAAAACGTAACTTATGGTCAAATAGAACGCCTAAATCTATGAATGAATCGACGTCCTTCAACTTTTGCTACTCAATGAAATACATTTATTTAGATTTAGTTTTAAAAGACTCAGAGCATCATGCAACCAAATTATTCCAGTCACTTTGAAGCTGATGTGATTGCGATTCTACGGAGAAGGAAGCAAGCAGTTTCACATCATCAGCATACATTGAAATGTCGCTGCATTTAATCAACGAGAGCAAATCATTAATGTAAAAATTAAATAAAATGGGTGCAAAGTGACTGCCCTGAGGTACGCCAGACGTCACGGGGAATTCAGATTTCAATATCATCCAAGGACTCAGAGCCATTGTGTGAGGGATTTATGGAGACTTTTCTTTTGGAATTAACGAACTTAAAAAAGTATATAGGATTAGCAAACAGAGAGGATTTAACAAACTGAAAGTATCTCCAACAATATTGGTCGTTGGGGCAATTAAATATATGCCTTGCCACTGAGTAACCGAAATAGTCAAAAGAAGAACTATTTTTCGAAAATTTGTTGAAAATTTTCTTGTAATGTTTATTTGTCTTACTAAATCACGGTGACACCTGCTTCGAGGACGGGAATGCTCGATCTGAACGGGTGCAGAAATAGCTTGATTTAATATAAAAAAGAGAGACTTTTACCAAGAGCTCTAATTGTTGATTGCACAAAACCAAAAGGAATTTTTCACATAAAAGATTAATATAATTCGTATAAGTTAAATTCACACTTTATTCTTCTACAGATTTGTATTATTTAGACACGAATAAAGCCAAAAAAGGCTAAGAAATACACTAAGAAATTGAAATTTTTATTGCACAGAATTAAAACGTGATTGCAACACGCACGCAGAGTTGCCAAACTTTTCAACTTCAAGCTTCAAAAAATGGTCTTTACTTCAGAAGAGAAAATAGTTGATATGGAAAGAACTATAAATGCGTTAAAAGAACGACTAGATGCTATAGAAAGGTGAACCTGATGTTATGGACGGTGTAGTCCTTCAGCATAATCACGAAGATACGCCCCAACCATTTACTCAAGCTCAGGAGGGTTTGATAGGCAGTACATACCTTAACACAGTGGAACGTTTTGGTAGCCTGAAAGAAGAACTTTATCGTGAGGTAATTTATCAAAAGGTAAGTCAAGAAATGAATGAAAGTCTTAAACACAAGACTGACGAATCTAATAAAATATGGGAAATACAAGCATTCTTTTGCAAGAATTTCGCGAGGAATTGCATACAAAGAAACAGCAAACCGAAGATTTACTGAAAGAGTCCCAATACATGTCTCTGTTAAAGTTCGTTATCTAATCTTTTGTCATCAAGTACAAATAAAGCAGTGAATATGTCCCGTGTTACTGCCCTAGGACGGGGAATTTGATAACACTTCTTTTCCAGTCTGATTGAAGAGTTTATGCGCCAAACTGACAAAATTCCAAGTTATTAAAATGGAAAAAAAGAATCTTACTATTATTAAAGCTTTGCAAACTCTAGGTTAGGTTCCCTATCACATACTCTTTTCCTCACTTTTGTTTGTATCTTTCTTCTTCGATATTTAAAGGTAAAAGATTTGCACGTTTTAGGCCAATCCTCCTAGAAGAGTCTTTTAAGTCCGGAATGTTAAAATTTAAACATTTTTTTTTAAATTTTATAGGCCAATATTATAGCATGGTATATAGTTTTGCAGTCTGCATGACTAATTTGTTTGCTAGTAAATCACTCAAAGTTATGAACCACTTTTCAAAACAATGTTATATAGAAAGCGGTTGAATAGTAAGTGGTTCATAACGATTTAGCACTTCCTTAAGGGCAAAAGGACTAAAGCATATCAGAAAGCATTCTTTGCGAGCCCAGTAAGTTTAAATCAACTTACCACAGACTTGTATAAGATTTTTCACCGATACGATAGCAAAGTATTGACGATAAAATCCTTTTTTGGATGGTTATGCTTCCTGCGTGCTCTTTTTGGTTTGCTTAGGATAACGATGTTATAAAGTATAACATTATACATATATATATATATACATATTTATATACATATACCAATATATATGTATATATGTGCCTAAAGGAGTTGTACGCCTACCTTTTATACCCACCACTGAAGGATGGGATTATACTCGTTTCCTTTTCGTGGATAATGTGTGTAACATCCAAAAGAAAGATTCAGAGATCCTATAAAATAATTGTTCTTGATCGGCCACTTCTGTCCCCCGTACTCACTTTTGTTCATCGCAAAACTGAAGACATCGACTTCTAACTTAGTAGAACATTGGACGCAGATTGGTAATGAAAAGGGATCAAATTGGTCAGACTAGAAACCAGCAGTGAAACATAAACTGAACGCAACTTCTTTTTTCTTTACAGAAATTTTTGGGTTGGCAGTCGTTTCTTAGATATTAAAATAGTTGGAAGGCTGAAATTTTCCCCATTTACGAAGCACTCTACTCTCATAAATTTTTTTTTGAGATTTTATTTTCATTATTTTTAAGTTTTATGCTTATTTATCATATGACAAGCAAGACAAAATGTTTAAAACTATTTTGTACATTTCTCAAATGAAGATATATTATCTGTCTAAAAGTAGGTCAATTTTAGAATGAATATGGTAGACATGGCGATTAATTTTTTCTTAATAATACTAGCGAAATGGGTATCAAATAAAAGAATTTGGGGAGTAGAATGCGAAAAGCATAGTGGTGGGTATGCGAAGCTCCACCGAGTTTAACTTTCTTACTAGTTTTATACTTACCCTCTCACAATATTCCTATTTGTGTCTGTAAAAGTGTTCGTTGCAGCTTTGCGACTTGCTTACTTTTCCCCCCGTGTTCTTCGTTGTTAGTCAAACTTCGATGGCCTCACGGCTCTCCGCACCACCAACCGCCAAGGGCGCGTTGCCAATTGTTTTAAATGGCTGGCATCCCCTGCAAGCCTACACCATTGTTTAACTTAATTTAAAACTAACTCACAAATGCTTGCAATTACACTACTTAAATGTAAAAATATTGATTAAATTTAATTACAAACAAAAAACGAAATTGCTATTAATATTTTAATGCTTTATATACGTAAATACGTAATGATGTATAAATATACATGAAATATATAATAAAATACGTAAATATACATAATCACTTAATACTTTATATTAATGACACTTGTGTGTAAGATTTTTTCAACTTGTTCCTGTATTTTATTGCTTGTTAATAAAATATTCAATACATAACCTAATAAATTAACTTTATGGTCCACTCCGTGTTTGCAGGATCCTTTTTCGGTGAAGAAACGGCATTTGGACGCGTTCTTTAGGCAATCCACACTTATTTGCGATTCATTTTCACCGATTTTCTTGTTTCCTCTTGCTTTTTTAGACGGGCGTTTTCTTCCTTCAACGCCACGCATTCCTTTCTTAGGCGGGCTATTTCTTTTTTTAAGATGTCCACTTCTTGGCTTCCGGGACTTTCCAGTTCTCTGGGGCTTTCTAACTCTATGGGGCTCTCTAATTTGATGTGGCTTTCTAATTCTATGAGGCTCTCTAATTCTCTGGGGCGTTCTAATTCTATGGGGCTCTCTAATTTTATGGGGTGTGCTAATTCTATAGGGTTCTCTAATGATTTGGGGCATTCTAATTCTATGGGGTTCTCTAATTTTATGGGGAGTTCTAATAATATGGGGGTCTCTAATTCTATGAGGCTCTCTAATTTTATGGGGCATTCTAATTCCATGGCGCACTCTAATTCTCTGAGGTGTTCTGATTCTGTGGGGATCTCTAATGCTATCGATTGTCCTAATTCTATGGGTCGCTCTAACTGTGCGTCATAGCCCAAAAAATCCGACGAAACAGATAGAGCCGAAACGGATTCTGCATCGCAGTTCGGTGTAGGGCAATCCTCCGCATCTCCACTCGAAACGGATATAACTTCGTCATTTGGTAGACGTATATTCCGTTCATCTTGCTTCTTCTGTGCCTTGAGTTTTCTGTAGGTATTCATTAAGCCCATCTCTTTGGCCAAAAATTTGTACATCCATAGAGCAGATCGATGGTTTGTCAAGTTTCTTTCATGCTTTTTCAACATCTTCCTAATACTGCGTAGTTTGTTCTTAGCTATCGTTATTGTCACTTCCTCACCGATATTTTGACTTAAATCCGCTGTTAGTTGCTCCCAAGCTGTCCTCGTTTCTTGTTTCGTTGCCGTTGCTTTTCCCCAGACAGCGTAGTGTTTTTTGAGGCTTGACGCAAATATTAAATGAGGTATATATGCTAACCTCATTATAATAATCGGATAATATAAGATAATAAGATGCTTATAAGATACTTATAATAATAATGTAATAAAATAAGATAATGAGATAATTATAACAGTAATATAATAAAATAACAAAGAAGACAATAAATGGTGAGATGATAAATGATGAACCTGAAAAGAAACATGAAAGCAGAAAATTTGTTAGTTATGTTTTTGTATTTAAATATTTAATACTGATAGGTGGCGGATTTGATTAAAGGCACTGTTAAACCACTCTCTACTGTAGGAAATTTATGAAATTCGATCCATATTAACTAGTCGCACATTCTCCGTGCCACACTCGTTTATTAAAGTATCTACTAAGTGGCCGAGTAGGCAAGAGTCTCGACTAGCAACTCAATGGTCGTGGATTCAAATCTCAAGTGCGGTAGAGTTTTTAATAAAGCCGGAAGCCTTAGATGCTGGTACTCTAAGACTTTAGTCTTAGAATTTATTCTCTGGCTAAATTTATAATAATAATAATAATAATAATAAAGTATCTACTAAAACTTGCTCTATGCTAAATAAATGCTTTGTTATTGTTCCTTTGATATCGTTGAAAGATTTTTCCAGTGTCTTTCGACAAGTTCAATTCGTGTTGTTGGCGTATTTGCGTTGGTAAATTCTACGAGACTGATTGGATTTGCTGTTTGTTTAGTTGCAAAAACATACTTCACTGAATATTCGTTTTTGATTAATTTTTTAGAACACGGGTAGCTCCAAACGTCGAAATTATATTGTTTACTTTAAATAGAGTTCCATTGCACCGTAGTTACTTTTTTTTAACAACGAAGGGAACATACATTTTGGCAAAGCGTTTTTTAGATATTCATAAAAGGCCAAATCAGAAAGGAGGTACGTTGCCAGACATATTGTCGTCATGCAGACTCATTATCAATTGAGGAGTTTGGCTGGTGGTTATCAAATTAGAGGGAGTGATAAAGTTATTGATACTCATCTCAACTAGATTATGAGTAGCAGCAGGTGGAATGCTATTTAACACATGCTCATCGAGAGTGATCTTTCTCTTAAACTTTGTTGGTGGCATATCAGAGGAACTGGCTTTGTTCTTTTATCAAAATGATTGAATTCAGCTATTTCTAACGTGATGCCTTTCTGCCTAGACACCAAGAAGGCTCAGGCCATTATAGATGTGGCCACTTCCATCCAAAAAAAAAGAAACCAGCTTACCTGACACTTGAAGAGCAGGATACGTCTTTTTCAGAGTCGGAAGAACTGAAATGAATGGAAGATTTGCCGCTATTCGGACGCTTTATGTAGTAATATAATAAGCTGTCGAAGCAGAAAGCTTCTCAGCTCATACTCAATTATTTATTTCCACCTTGGGATACGGATGAAGGCACGAGAAAAGCTAGCAAAAAATTACATTATTGTAGGACCCTTTTTCTCCGCAGATATTGAAACTGGAGATAGAAGATCAGTCATTGTTAGTGCTTATTTGCACGGTAAAAATCGCCTTTTAGTTCAGAAAATTTCAATGAATTAGTTTATTATAAAAAATTGTTGTTGAGCGAACAAGAAAAACAGTGGTAGCTCAAAGCAGAGTTGCCAGAATTCAAAAATTCTTAAGACTTGAGTTCAGAGATGTTGATGTAAAACAAAATAAATGCTTAGTTATAATTTATCTTTCGTTTTTCAAGAATTGAATGTCTGTCTTTCAATTTTGAAAAAAAAAAAATTCAATTAAAAAACCAATTAAAGCAAAAGTGTTGATTTGTGGAGAAATCAGTATCAATTGAAGGATACATAAACTTTGAAAAAATACTTTTCCTTTGCTTGCTTGATGAAAACTGGATAGCATTTTTGAATGCTTATCGAAATAGACCAATACATATATCTTTTGTTTTCGCACGCAAGAATTTTGAAAATAGAGAAATTATAAAAAACGCGCCTGGTGGTACGGAAAACCGTGAAACGACAAGCACTTAAAACCGGTCATATTAAAATCACTTTAAAAGAAACGACTAAACCTTTTATCAAATTTATTTATTAAAAATTGTGTAAAGATGCTATTATTAAGAATTTATTTATTCTTTTATTTTATATTTTTAGGTTCAGGACGAGAGTTGATCTGCAATGGCAAATAGCGGAAAAAACTTGATTTCTAAAAATGTGTTTTCATTGATTGTCATTGTAGAACGAACGAATTAAATTATCAATTGTTGATTACTGAGAACTTCGTACCAATAGAAATGAAGCAAAGACTTTATACCCAAGGCTTATATGAAGATTAAATATGACGACTTTACCTCTTAATTGTGACAGAATTTGCAGAAAGAAACGAGCAGTCTCTTATCCCTAAAGGTCTCGACCTTTATCAGAATATATTTTACTAGAAGAAGAAGATATACCATTAATAATACGCGTGCGTTTAGACATTCTTGGAAAGCTTTTTATTTCGACGACTTTAGTTGAGACCTGATCTTGAGACATACCTTCTAAAGGTACACTGCCTTTTGACACATCTTATCCAGGTAGCTGATGAAATAAAGATTTCCGGTTACTATTGACCTTTTTGCCTTTCTCCGACGGCTTATTAACGTAGTCTAAGAATTTTGCTTCCTTATCAGAAGATGATCAATAGATGAACCTCCGCCTATAGCATCATAAGAGTTCTAACGATGCGTCAGTCAATTTGGTATTACCAGGAAGATATATTTCCTACTACCTCCAATGCAATATAATTTTTCATTACTACTATTGTTCGTTGCGGTCGAACGGTCTTTAACCGGTGAAGAAAAGTTTGAGGCTTGGACTATCTATAGCTTGGCGCCAAGTTTTCTGACTGATGGCTTAGCGGTACACTGGGAAAAGTTTAATATGGGAACTTCTTTCTCGTAGACTACGCAATGCTATGTTTGGTTGTAACTGGCTACGTAGGGACAGACGTGACACCCGTCGCAAAGAACATTAGTCCGGTGCTGGCTAGCCGGGATTGTCTAGTCTGTTTGGTCCGAAGGCAAGTGAGACTATGTCGCGTAAAGTAAGGCTAAAGGCTTAATAGACTGAATCTAAGCTCTGCGAGGGTCAGGAGCACTCTCCCAAAGTCACGAGTACCTGCAGTTAGAGGTGACAGCATTGGTTTAACTGCAGATGCTTGCCAAGATCCTTGAGGGGAAGCTTACATGCTGGCATACCACGCGGAAACCGCGGTGTGTCCAATCACAGTTTGAACGCCGCTGTTAATCAATGTACGAGTCCTGACTGCTTTACAGTCGTTCGGGGAGTATCTTGGTGGCTGTAGTTTCATCACTCCTAATAATTAAGAGGTAATGGCAGGTCTCAATTCACCAGAGTGAGTTTTTTGGGCTGTATACTGTAAGTACATTTGGTTTCTCCAGTGCAGATCAGGCCCCTAGTTTATAGGGATTGACGAACTTTCTGGTGGGCGTCGATTACGCAGAATTAACGCGTGTAGCGTGGCAAAAGGAACATCTGTTCTTTTCATCTTTCACTACAAATGAACGTATACTTCAGCTTATCAGAAAACCTCGCTCATTTTAACGTAGAATTCGGTCTTAAAAAATATGTGGCGTGACCTCGCAAGTTACCGTTTCTCTAGCGGTTTGTGAGTCAATTGTTTATAAGAAAATTGCTTGTTCTATCCATTCATTTTAATTGCATACTAGATTGAAAAAATTTAAATTAATATTCATTATTAGTTATTGCAACTCTGGGAAGGCTTACTTTTGCTAGATTCGCCTTTAACTTGAAGCTTTGCGGCCGCCTTTCAACTTTCAATTCATGAATCCGTCTTCATGTAGATAAAATAAGAAGGCAGTTTTCAAATTAAAAAACACAAATGCTTTGCTTCATAACAAAGAATATCTGTTGGGTTTCGAAATTAGGAACGCAGCATCTCGGTTTCATCTCAGTACCACTTTACAGGCATCAAATAATGAGAATGGGCAATGTTCACGATGTAAACAGTGCTAGCAATTCAACTAACGCTACTGTCGATGAATCCTCCTAACCGTCTGATAGCATATTTACCAACTGTAATGAGGATTTACTGGCCAGCTTTGGTACGGGAACTGTGGGAAATCTTCTCAGTCAAGATATATAACCCCAATAGTAGCAACTGCTACAGTCGCAGCCACAACGACAGCATTCACAACATCCTTTTTGAAAACTTCATATCATAAAAACGAAATTTATTTCAATCGATGAGACTCGAATGCTTCACACTGCTTTTCTCTTCAATTCTTTAATGTAATTTGCTTAATAAGTTAAATAAACACAGCGCTGTTCAACACAAACTCCAAATCGAAGAGAAAAATGCATTAAATAAAGAAATATTTTAACTGACCACAGTATGTTTTACTTAATTTTTTCATAAAAAATGCAAATAGAAAAACCGAGTTAATGTACTGTGTTTTTAGTTTTTGAGAGAAGTAAGATAAATTTCCCCTATTATGTTCACTCATTCGAAAATTGCTCACTTACTTTTTTTCTCACACACATTGCCTGCTCATATTTAACAAATAATGCACTTTAAAATGGTCCCCTGCGCTATTTTTTTTTAAAAAGAACTTTTTTTTTTGACGCGTCGCGTCAAACGAATCTCTTTCTGCCATGTAACTATATGCACGATGTGTTGCTATAACTCGACGCAAGCAAATTGTCAGCTTATTCGATTTCATTGACGAAGATATTTTCAGTTGCTTCGCGTCCACGTCGTCGTTTGCGTACTCGTAGCTGTGCCATCATCGGTAGGTAGTGGAATATACAAAAAAAAAAAAAAAAAGAAAAAAAAGAGAATAAAAATCTTTTTTCCTTGTAATTGGAACACTTCTTCAAAAAGGTATAAAAAAGAAAAAAAAGCACAAAACACAAAACTGAAAAAAGAAAAAGTCACTGTGCAGTAGCAGTCTTCTAATCTTCAGTAACAACACAAATAAAATCGTTGACGTAGATTTTTGCAAACAAAAAAAAAACTATTTTTCTTTAAACGCCTAAGTTAGCGTCGAAAATAAAAACTACATTCTTATCAGAACGAGTTAGCTATAGTTGGCACCTATTGCACAAGCAGAAGGGATATTGAGAGCCGACAGCAAAATGGATAAAATGGATCCAGCTTTAGAGCAACAATTCGATTTGAATTTAATAGAAGCGGTTAAAATGAATCCGGTCATTTATGATCGTTCGCATTTTAATTATAAGCATTTTGTTAGGAAAGCTCAAACATGGAAGCAAATTGCCGAATCATTGGGTGTTCCAGGTATGTATGCAACATATGTAAGTAACGTAAGCAAGAAAATAATTCTATAACTTCTAAGGGTTTTCGTTTTTTTCGTTACTACAAATTTCTTATTGCAAATTTTTTTCAAACTTTCAATTATACAAACTAAACATAAACTATTCTGAGCCTGACGACAAAATCTTTTAGATACATGTACGCATAAAGTTATAGAAAATTTCGCATTTGCCTTTCGTTGCTTAGCTGGTTAATATCTTATGTACACTTAAATACCGAACCGCATACGCACACACACACACACTCACACTCATATTTACACACATGTAAATAAATGTGAAATATATGTAAATTTCAATCGTCTAACGTACCGTTCACCAGCCATTACAATAATATTAAATACCACCAAAAACAACAGCAACTACAGTAATAGGAGGAAAAGCAATCACACAAACCCTCATATCTGTTGTTGATGTTGTTATTGTCGCCAGTATTTGTATACATTAACGAAAGAAATATATATGTGCGAACACTTTGCCGTAAATTAAAAACAAGAACATTGTCCGTAACGTTTATACCAGTGTAGTATACACTGGTTGCTTAAATTGAAAAAGAAGCAGAAAAAGCAAAGCGCAAAGATATACACAAAGTATCTCGTATAATGAATGCCTTTGGCTGATGTGCTTGTTTGCTTTGCGCTGTCTGAACATGATTGTATACAATAAGATGAATAAAAAAGAATAAAGCAGAACGGGGATGGTGGCAGAGAGAGGTTTACAACAACTCCCATACACATCACAGTCTGCGCGCATTCACATATACATGCAAGCAAACACGTAAACCCTCAACCATTATTATCGTTTATAGTTAAGAGCTTTTCATAAGCGCGAGTAACTTTGTGTGTGTATACATATATATATATATATGTAGGTTTGCGTTTATATGCCCGTTTACTACTCGTTGACTTCTCTTTTACGCAGCTGTACTTTCGCTGTTCGTCTAAATGTCGTCGTCGGTGTTTTGTTTTTTTTATTTTTGCTTTTTGAGGTTTAAGTTCCCTACTGGGGGCAAAATAAATTTCTAATTGGTATAATTAAAAAGTAAAAATGTATTAACATGTGTAGATTATAGAAACTATATTTATCCCCCCCATCAACATGAGTAGTATAATCAACATAGTCACGTCCGTTATTCGGTTTGCTTGTTATTTTTTCGAAATTACGATTACGATTTTGTTTTATATAACTCTTTCCAATTTCTAAATTATCCGAACTTTTTTTTTTTGGATATTCATATGAAACAAGGATTAATAGAAAAATATCATTTTCGTAGTTTTGTTCAGCTTACAATGTACCCATTTTTTTGCCCCTTTAATATTCATATTATTGCAAATGATAAGCATGTCATGTGCTGGTAAACGTAAGGGGGTATTTCAGATAGCTGAAGGTTAGCTTTAGCTTTTGTTGTCAACCAGTCGTACACAACAACGGAAAGTATATTTTTCCCCGATATAATACTGTTGCCAGTGCTGTCATATGTTTCTTTCAATATTTTATAAGAGAAATAAATCATTACAAGAATAGAAAGAAACATGTGTCTTTTTGCTTTTGTAAGAAATCAAAAAATTTACTACTTTTCAGTTCATGTTTTAAGCAAATAAAACATCCAATTATTCCTTAATGAATTATAAAATATATCTTCGCATGTATAGATAATTGGAAGTCAATTATTAAATAAATAATTATATTGTACCCGATTCCGCTTCCATGGCAAAGGTATATTTCAGAAAAAGTTTCTTCGGCAAACACTATAGAATGGAAGATCCATTTACGTTTCATTGAAAAGCGTCTTTTTTAACTTTGAACGCATTGAATTGAAAGTGTGTAAAAACTCAGTGATATCAAATTTCATATTTTCAAAGTTTTTTTTATTAGAAAAACAATAATATTAGGGATGCGCTATGGTCCTTAAAACTCTTATTGATATTAAAAATTAATTGAGAAATTTCTTTAATCTTTGGCATAAGTAGAATTGATGGGTGCCAAAAGATTCGGATATTCCTTCTTTTGTTTTTTTTAACGTTCGGTGGAAGAAGAAATTTTTTTCTGCTTTTCATTCCTCTAACACACGTGCCTTACTCTCTTCGCTCTCTTGTCAACCCGTCTGTAAGACCGACGTTTGCACCCATTTCGCTTCCAATTGGCGCATGTGCGATACATATTTCACTCAGTCGGATGTTAAATGAGTGCAAAATGTAGAGAAATAATTGTAGATTTTTTTGCATTATCCTCAGAGTACTTTATTTGCTACTCCAGAGATGGGATGATTAAATCTACTTATGGGCCAAAAGAGTAAGATAGAAAATGTAAAGATTTGACGTTTATTTTATTTGAAAACAGAACGAAACTTGAAGGTGGAGAAATTGCAAACCCCAACAGATATTTTTCATAGCTTGAACTAATTTTAAAATTTTCATACATTACACCATTTGTGGTACGAAGGTATATTAAGTTTGGTCGGTTGCGGTAGTCCATAAGGACTTGAGATACACCCAACTTTTATTATAACGATCGATGCAGAATCAGAATAGATCTAAGCTTTTCTGCCCGTCTGCTCTTCTCGTTTTCTTTTGCGTAATCCAGACACAGCAATTTTTGAGATGTGTTGAAACTGTAACTGAAAAGACTTAAGCAATGAAAAACATATAAACCCTTACAAATTATTTGCTTTGTAAAAAAATATTATTTTTATATACTTTTTAACATATTAGCCAGTTTAATATATATTTTTTGTTTTTTGGTTTTGTTGTAGAACAAAAATGTACCAAACGTTGGAAGAGCTTACGCGATAAATTCGCCAGAGAGTTGAAAATTAGTCAGGATTCGAGATGGCGTTATTTCAAACAGATGTCGTTTTTAATGGACTCAATAAGGTAAATTAATTTAAAGATTACAATGAAAAAAAAATTAACAATTTAGTCTTGCTTATCCAATAGACAATATCGTGAATCATTGCTGGGGAAAGTAAATGCAGCGGCATCTATACCAGCGCAAACTACCAACACAGTAACTGCTCAAGTGGAGGCGACACCACAAAATCATCACCAACAAACGACACAGCAACAGGTCGTTGACATATTTACGACACCATTTAACGGTAGTGCCACCATAACAACTCAGGCTCTAACACATCCACATGGTAAGTATAGGATCTTTTCATAGGCGGCGCTCTGCTTTTCCTATCCTATACATGAATAACAACAATTTAAGTGTAATAGAAAAATGTACAAATATTTCGTTCTTTTATTGATTGCAGCGATTGTTGTAACTGGTGACACCCAATTGGCGACCACTAGTGCGACGAAAGACCAAAAAACCTATTATTATGAGCCCGCTTTGAAACGTGAACGTCCTGGTGAAGAGGAACAGCAACAACAGCAGCAACAACAGCAACATCACAATGATAACATGCTTGGTTCAATAAAAATTTTTCAGAATTCAATAAATCAAGGTGTCAGCGCTGAAGATCAATCCTTTGGTATGGTTGTAACCGATATGTTAAATACGCTGGGCGTACGACAAAAAGCCGAAGCCAAAGTACATATTATCAAATATTTAACTGATATGCAGCTGCTGGCCCAGCATAATAAATACTGAAAAATCATCAATGCAATAACGA